AACCTAACCTTGCACCTAAAGCAATTAGAGAAAGAAGAACAAAAAAGGCTCCAAAGTTAGCAGAATGAAAGAAATCATAAAGATCAGATCAGAAATAAATGAAGGAAACAATAGCAAAGATCAATGAAACTAAAAGCTGGTTCTTTGAGAAGATACACAAAATTGATAAACCATTAGCCAGACTCATCAAGAAAAAAAGGGAGAAGACAAATCAATAGAATTAGAAATGAAAAAGGAGAAGTAACAACTGACACTGCAGAAATACACAGGATCATGAGCGATTACTACAAGCAACTCTATGCCAATAAAATGGACAACCTGGAAGAAATGGACAAATTCTTAGAAAAGCACAACCTTCCGATACTGAACCAGGAAGAAATAGAAAATATAAACAGACCAATCACAAATGCTAAAATTGAAATTGTGATTTAAAATCTTCCAACAAACAAGCCCAGGACCAAATGGCTTCACAGGCGAATTCTATCAAACATTTAGAGAAGAGCTAACACCTATCCTTCTCAAACTCTTCCAAAATATAGCAGAGGGAGGAACACTCCCAAACTCATTTTATGAGGCCACTATCACCCTGATACCAAAACCAGACAAAGATGTCACAAAGAAAGAAAACTACAGGCCAATATCACTGATGAACATAGATGCAAAAATCCTCAAAAAAATATTTCTCCATAGAAGATATACAGACTGTCAATAAACACATGAAAGGATGCTGAACATGACTAATAGAGAAATGCAAATCAAAACTACAATGCGGTATCACCTCACACCAGTCAGAATGGCCATCATCAAAAAATCTAGAAACAATAAATGCTGGAGAGGGTGTGGAGAAAAGGGAACCCTCTTGCACTGTTGGTGGGAATGTAAATTGATACAGCCACTATGGAGAACAATATGGAGGTTCCTTAAAAAACTAAAAATAGAACTACCATATGACCCAGCAATCCTGCTACTGGGCATATACCCTGAGAAACCCTAATTCAAAAAGATACATGTACAGTAATGTTCATTGCAGAACTATTTGCAATAGCCGGGACATGGAAGCAACCTAAGTGTCCATCAACAGATGAATGGATAAAGAAGATGTGGCACATATTACAATGGAATATTACTCAGCCATAAAATGAAACGAAATTGAGTTATTTGTAGTGAGATGGATGGACCTAGAGACTGTCATACAAAGTGAAGTAAGTCAGAAGGGGAAAGACAAATACCGTATGCTAACACATATATATATATGGAATCTAAGAAAAAAAAAATGGTTCTGAAGAACCTAGGGGCAGGACAGGAATAAACACTCAGATGTAGAGAATGGACTTGAGGATCCGGAGAGGGGGAAGGGTAAGCTGGGACAAAGTGAGAGAGTGGCATGGACATATATACACTACCAAATGTGAAATAGCTAGCTAGTGGGAAGCAACCACATAGCACAGGGAGATCAGCTCGGTGCTTTGTGATGACCTAGAGGGGTGGGATAGGGAGGGTGGGAGGGACACACAAGAGGGAGGAGATATGGGGATATATGTATATGTATAGCTGATTCACTTTGTTATAAAGCAGAAACTAACACACCATTGTAAAGCAATTATACTCCAATAAAGATGTTAAAAGAAAAAAAGGCTTGTTGAATGAACTAGATAAAATCAGACATATAATGGTTACATGCTAAACATTGGTTAACTTTTTAGGGGGGACATATGTCTCCAAACTTAGAAGTTAAGGATGCAGGGAAGCTAGCGGTAAATAGCACAGCTGAGCACAGTGAAAGAATTTACTACCTTAGAATGATCAGTTTCTGTTCTGATACGTCCCATGGGTTTTTTCCATACAACTCATCAATTATTCTTTATTGTTAGTTTCCCACGATTCTAAATCTCACACAGTCTTTCTTTTACCAAACTCAGCTAGTCATATGATGTTTCTTATTTTATTCACAGAGGACTCATTTTTAAGTTTGGCCGCACTGAAGACTTGTGGCAGTGAAAACATCTGATTTATTACTGCAGAGAAGTCCTGCATGGGTTTGGTTTTTATTTTCACTGCTCACTCCCAGTCTTTTGTAATGCCATTTTCTAAACTTCTTTCTGAGTGTAGTCTCAACTTAAATTTGTATAATACTAAAATCATGAGAACTCCCTATTTAAACAACACCAACAACAGCAAAATCTATTGTGGTATGCATTTGATTAACTTGTAAAATGTTAAAAATATTTCATACGAGAAATTTTTATTATGTTTTATCATGGTATAATTTGTAAAAATAAAAATAAATGACAAAAGAAATTATGGAAGCATCTTATATGAGTATCTGTCATATCCAAGGTGCAAAACTGCAGTTAAAGTTCTCTGAAGATTTAATGTGTTTATTTAAATGTGGCCTCTTCTGTGTCAAATGTTAAATGAAATATAAACATATTGTTGTTTTTAAAAAACTATTCAGTGGTCAGAATTATTTCTCAGTATACTTTGTGTTTGGTTTATATGGTTTTGCCAAAAATTCTGTAAATATTTCAGTGTAAGTAACCATTGAGCATCTCCCAAGGGATGAGTGAACATGTTGAAAGAGAGTAGCCCCACAATCCTGCCTCCAGTCTCCTCAAAAGTGTCCCTTCAGTGGTAGTGATTGGGGGGGGGGGGAAGGGGGTGAGTAATAACTCAGCTGTGATACCTGGTCCTGATGGGACGCTGACAATCACTCCACAGCTACCATGGAAGGAAAGAGGAAGAGGATAGGGACTTGACACTGGTCTTTACTCACATGACTAATTCTGTTGTCGGTTTGATAATAAATTAGATTCCATTTCATTGTATCTCTGTACTGAACCACTAAGCTCAAGATAGACCAGCAGGGTCAATTATAATGACAAATGTTAACTACTGGGAATTCTTAGTCTGTTCCTCTTTGGAATTCTGTTATCCCCCAGGCTCCCCACTTTGGCAAAATGGGAATTTTTTTTATTCTTTAATAAACTAACTGTGGGATACATGTTCTTCAGAACTAAAGCTTGAAATGTTTTCTTTCATAAAACTTGCTACAATTAGCCATTCATTAAATGCCAAATATCACTTAGATTTAAATTGCGGTCCTTTTTTTTAGTATTTATTTATTTTTATTTGTTTATTTATTATTTATATTTTTAATTTATTATTTTAAATTTATTATTTATTTAATTTAGTTTATTATTTATTTAATTAATTTAATTTATTATTTATTTAGCTGCATCTTTGTTGCGGCACACGGGATCTTCATTGCAGTGCGCGAGCTCTCTAGTTGAGGCACGCGAGCTCAGTAGCTGTGGTGCACGGGCTTAGTCACCCCATGGCATGTGGGATCTTCCCTGACCAGGGATCGAACCCTCGTCCCCCGCATTGGAAGGCAGATTCTTTACCACTGGACCACCAGGGAAGTCCCAGTGGTCCCCTTTCTATGTCAGCCATCTTTTTCTCCCAGTGTGTACAATTTGAATGTTGCCTGGTCATCAACTATTCAAAGAAACGGCTGTGTTGTTCTCATCTCACAGCAAATCACTCCTGGTGAGGTTTTAGATCCACAGGATGTGAGAAGTGGAGGCGATCTTAGGGGTTGAAGTTCACCTTCTTTTCTTACAGATAAGGGAACCCGGACCATGGCAAATTTAAATGATTTCCTCAAGGTCATAGAACTAGTTTTTAAATCTTGAGGCAGTGTATCTCCACCTTTGACCACGAATTTCTTCCCCACAGTTAAATTCAGGATATGCTCAGGGAGTAGGAACTCCTTGTAAAACCACTGGAATAAAAGCACAGTGTCTGCAAGGGCTAAATCTAAGTGAGTTCTTAGTTTTCCCCTGTTTTATATCATCTGCTTTGCTGATGTAGGTGAGTTAACTGAGAGCTTAATACTTTACTAAGCGCAAGAAAGGATCTAAATTGTCAATAAAATTGAACCAAAACCTTAATTTTGTGAACTGTGTGTCTGCACCCAAGAAAATAATGATACCAGTATCTTTCATGAAACCAAACATAATTATTTAAAATTATTATAATATAAAATTATCCCTTATGTTTTTAGTCTTTTATTTTTAATATCAAATCTATCTCTGACCTGTTTCATTGGACATGAGACTTTGCTGTAATGAGTGTCGCACACACAAAAAAATGGGCAACAGTGAAAAGAGGTTGTTTTCAAACAGCCCTTGTTTTTCTTGGATGCTTTCGCTTAGTATCCAACAGCCAAATGTGGAAACTGTAAAAGGAAAGCAAACATTTTTTATTACAGATGAACCCTTATTATATGCTTAATATTGTACACATATTGATTCTGGCTTGATCTTTTGAAACTTCTGTTGCCCGAAATGTTGTTTCATCACAAAGGTCTTAGAAGTTCTTTCATAAAATATGAATTGGAAGATCTCTTAGATAGGTAGATCTCATTTCATATAGCTCTTTACATGGATCATTAGTGGTCACCTGGCTTTTGTTTGAACACCTCCAGTGACAGGAGACTCACTACCACATGAAGTAGTTTATTCCGTTTTGCAGACAGTTCAAATTGTTAGCAATTTATACTGCATCGCCCACTGGGACTAGTTAAATTCTTTGGAGAAGCATAGAAAAAAATCTTTTCCCTCTTCTACATGACAGTCTCTCAAGTGTTTGAAGATTGTTCTTAGGTCTCCCTTGGGTCTTCTCTTCTGCAAGCTAAATAAATCAACCCTCAGTTCTTTGGTTGTGCCATATGGTACCCTGCCATACAACATCACTGCATGTTGAGTAGCCTTGGATCACAGAATTCTAGAACCAGAAATCAGAGTAGCTAAAGTTTATGCGGTGTTTTCTATGGATCAGTGTGCTAACATTTCACACATGTTACCTCCCTTAAATCCTTCCAACAACCTAGTGAGATATCTCCATTTCAGAGATCACAGAGCTAGAGGTGGTAGAACCCAGATCTGTCTGACTCCAGAACGTCGAATTTGATCTCATTTCACAAATGAAGGAACTGAACCTCCCCTCCACCCCACAGAAGTAAAGTGACTTGCCCAAGGGCACCAGCCTGTGGTGGGTGAGCTAGGACTCAATTCAGATCTGCCGCCCAGATGAGGCTGTTTCCACTGGGCCTCTCCCAAAGGGGAGGAATCAGCAGGCTCTTGATCTGTTTTCCTACTTTGCTTTAAAAACCGGCTCTCCTCATTTTGGCAGAACGAGCATTTTTTGGACCCTTACTGTGTGTCTAGAACATCTGTTTTAAATCAGAAGCAGGGGTGACACCAATGTGACAAGGCTATGCTGTTTTGCATAAAACAGCAAGAGGAACTCAACACATTTTGTCGTGTTTTTGTGCCAAAACAGTGGTGGTGTTTAAATTTTTTGGCAATACAATCCTGTAAAAAATAAACTACAAATACGTGTTCAGAAAGCAACGGATGACCTTGAGTATACTGCAGTCATTTCAGAATCCATCCTACATGCTTAATCCCGTCATACTGCTCACCCCTGAAACATTCATTTTATGGCACCATTTCCCCACGTAAACCTTGGGAGCTCCCCATCGCCTGAAGGATGATTCAAGTGACTCTGCCCACCATTCATCCTCCTCTTCACCAACTCGCCCCTGAGCCAGTTGCTTCATGCTTCTCCTGTGTTTGCTCTGAATCCTCCCCTTTCTTGGAATGTCTTCCAGTTTCTGTCACTTAGCCACGTCCAGCAAATCCTGACCTCCCCAAGCTTGTGACCTCTGCCTCCGCTGGTTCAACTAGCAGCTACAGGGTTACTTATTTAGTACCTAATAGATAGAGCTGTGCACAGGTAAAGATCCAGTTCTTCTAAGTGCTTAGACCCCTATTTTCTCTGTTTGCATCCACACAATAATCAGAACAGGGGCTTGTCCATGGGAGACTCGCAAAACAAAGTTCCTTTCTTCATTTTAATAAATGGATGTCAGTGGGTCCTTGTGCCTTGGAAAGCATGAAATAAAATCCATGGTTTATGAAATTGAAATTAAAAGTTGAAAGAATTTATCCTCTTAGTGAATGCAGAAGACATATGAAAAATTATAAATTGGATTTTTGTAAATCAGTATCTGGGTGAGGATCACTGTAATTTCCAAGAAGACAAAGGGTTAGTACATGCAGCTCCTTAAGACCTAGAACTAAATTTTATTTAGATGTGTCTCCCCAGCTCTTCATACAATATTGATCACATATTAGCTAATATATTTATGAAATTAATAATGAGTGAATGAATGAGTACATCTTAATAAAGTCATCCAAGGATGGGATGGGTGTTCTTGGGGGGTGGTGAGTGCCCCATCCCAGGAAGTGCTGAGCATGGTCTGGGCAACCGGTGAAGGAATGTCCCTTCCAACCCCCAGTAGTCTGCTTCTATGACACACAATAAAGGGCATTCCATAATGTTTAAAATGTCTTTTTGGATGGTTTACAAAAAAAAAAAAAAATCACCTCTGGATTTATCAGCTTTGGAAGTTTGTATTCTTGCTTTTTAAATACAAGCTATAAGTGTTACACTGCTGAATAAATAGTTCTACTCAGCTGTAAAAAAATATACATCAGAAGAGGGGAGACATAACCATTCTCCAGTAGCTGCCCACAACACATACATGCTGTGTCTTTGGAGCCAAACAGACACCGATTCAAATTCCTCCTCTTCCATTTACTAGCTCTGTCATGTTGGACAAGTTACCCCTCATCTGCAGACGGGGAGACTTATTCTTACGCAGGGTTTTTGCGAGGATAAAATCAGATAATGTTGAAAAGCATCCAGCACAGAATCGGAAACAATAGGCTTGCAATAAATGATAGCTGTTAGGCTTACACATTCCTTTGTGGTTGTCTAAACCCCTAGTAATAAACTTTCACATTCACATGGCAGTTTGCGTTTTACATAATGTGGTCACATATGTTATGACCCCACTTGGTCTTCAAAACAACCCAGTGAGGTAGAACGAAGGTTACTGTTCTTATTTTACCAGTGAGAGAGGTCAAGGGTCTTGCCTACATCAGACCTTGCAGAATGGTGACTAGAATCCAGGTCTTCTTGTTCCAGGGACACAATCTCCATTTCACCTGCTGCTGCAAGGGGCTAGTGTTGGGGGCGGGGGTTCCTCAGATTTCCTTCATTTGTTCAGCAAGTATTTATTGCAACTCAAATAATTCAGCTGGATATTTGTCCTATTTGTGGTATCTCTCATTAATGAGCAGAGTGCTTGGTATATAATAGTTGCTCAATAAGCACTTGTGGAATGAATGGATGGATGAAGCCAGTTTTCTGAATCCTTTCACTAGATCACCCTGTTTCTGCTAAAGGGGCAAGAATACTTGCAGGGGACTGGGAGAGACTAGCTGTTGGAAGAAGCCATATAGAGAGAAGCTGGTGCAAGATGAGGCAGATTACACACAACAACGTGGATGACTCCCAGAATAATTACACTGAGCAAAAGAAGCCAGGCGAAGAAGAGTACATGCCGTGTGCTTCCATTTATACAAAATTACAGAAAATGTAAGCTAATCTATAGGACAGAAAGCAGTTCAGTGGTGGCCTGGGGATGGAACAGGGTGGAGTCAGGAGGGAGCAGTTTCAAAGAGTCAGGAGGAAATGTTTGGTGGTGATGGATATGTTCTTACCTTTATTGCGGTCATGGTTTCATAGGTGTATAAACATGTTTAATGTATCAAAATGTATGCTTTAAATATGTGCAGTTCATTGTCAAGTATACCTCTAGAAAGTTGTTTCAAGAGGAAGAGGAGGAAAGAGAGTGCGGAGATGAAGGAAAGGGAGACGAGGTGGGTTTTCTCCGTAGGTTCTCTCTGTTTTGCCCCTACAGACACAAATGCCAAGGCCTATAGTAAGGCTGGTTCTCTGTCCCTTTAGTGGTCAGTATCTTGGCCTGCTGGGTGGAGAAAGGGTTGGCCTGGGACTCAGAAGGACTGCTTCCACTCACAAAGACATGATGCTGGGCATTAGCCTGCCCTCTGTCGGCCCCCACTTCCCATTTATAACTTGGCAATATGGGTCCCTGCTTGCCCAGCCAACCTCAGCATCAATTGGAAGATTACCTAAGGTGACACACATCAGAATGCTTTGTGAACTGTAAGTGTAGGTTAAAGGGAGGAGGGCAGTGGGGTTTCAGGGAATGAGCCCTGACCTCCTTTCTAGCCCAGCCATGACAACAAACACTACAATATCACAGAGACCCTCAGCAGCAGCTGAGTTGTTTGAACTTTATGTCCCCTGACTAAATAACCCCAGACACCTATGCTGCAAGCTTTCTCATGTCCACTAGCTCTAATTTCTTCAGCTGTGCCACTCACTCCCTGTGAGAACTTGGATACTCATGGCTCCACTTGGAGGTCTATCAAGTGAGGGGATTGGACTCTCTGGCCCCTGTGGTCCTTCTGGCTCTTGCACTGCAGGATTCCATCACCTTGACGTCAAACTGTTTGCCCGCCCACTTTGGTGACTCCAGGTGGGGAGGAGACATGTGGCCAGTGACAGTTCTCGCATCCCTGTCCCTCAGTGATTTTGAGGCATCAGGGAAATGGGAACATTTACTACCTCCTCACCCCCCCACCAACACACACACACACACACACACACACACACACACATGCATGCACACACGCTCACACACACATCTTGGATTTGTTTGTTTGTTACTTTACTCTCATAAACACCAAGTTAACATATATACCCAGGTATCTCTTTAAGTTCATTCACTCAAAACCTTAGACATTAATAGGTTAAAACTCTTACCTTCCAGAAAGTTTGGTCATTGAAATAGTTAACCACGTGAGGTGACTTCCATATTTTGAGGTTTAAGAGCATACCTGTTTAAATTCATAATTAAATGTTAACACACTTAGATGATTGCATTTGTTATCTCAAAATTAATCAAAATATTATAAGTCAACTATGGTATCTCAACAGAAATCCTTTTTTCTTCCACAACCAGGAAATAGACAAATTGAAGCACTGTCCTTCCTGGACCAGCTTAATTAATTCTATAGACATCTTTCAAAAGGAACTGGCAAGAACAATTACATCCAAAGGATTTCGGTTACGCAGGGAGGTATACGATAGTCATGGATTAATACACTTCCCAAGACGGAATAGAAGGACCCTGTTAGACGGTGCCCCTCTTAAGAGCTGGTGCATTTAAAATGCAAAAGCTACCATGGAGAGCGACTCAGATAGCCACCCCTGCAGGTCCATCCTCACTGGTTCCAATAAAGTCCCAGTGACCTCAGCTCAAGATTCCACTTGTTAGGAAAGTAGTTTATAACAACTTGCATCTGTGCCTGTTCTTTTCACCCATCCCTCCTCCGCCCAGAGAACTCGGGCCCTATGCTTTCCCCAGTCGCTCCAAGTCTGCCAAATTTCCAGTACATAAAGTAGTGTTTACCTTTCATGTGAAGCAGGGAAATGCCATTGATAGGTTTATCTGTGTATTTTTAATGACGATCAGTCCCAATGTATTAAAGAGTAAGATTAACAAGAGTAGGTGTGTGCTTATTCATATTTTCATCTTATAGTGCGTGCCTTTAACTGATTGGCATGTAGAGTGCAATCAGCACACCTCATTTAGCTAGAATTACTCAGAAACAACCCCTGTCGCCTACATATATTTTCCAGATAGCTGAGGCTTACTCATCTGATGCAAATCCTCTAAAATTATTATATTTTCTTGTCTTATGAGACAACACTGAACACATTTAGACTTTAAAAAAAAAAATCAGAACTGTTCCTAGGAACATCCTTTTATGAAATGTGCTGTGTAACGTGGAGAAGGGCTACAGCTGCTGAAGGTTACTGGCCTGTTCTCCAGCAGCCCAAGCTTCTCATGTTCTTGTGACTGGTTTTAGGAAATTCTCTTCTCCTGCTAGGCTCTCTGCTTTCACTTCTAACTTCTATGAGGGTGCCTTGCCTCTAGAAACCTATCCACGTCTAATCTGCTATTTCTAATCTGCCTGACCTGGGAAACCCCATAACTATGCTTGATAAGATGGTTTCTTAAATAAGTGCATATATTATAGACGGGCTCCACGGAACGGGGTCTCTTCGCATGTAAAATGCTTGGCTTAAGGGGGTCAATTTGTTGCCATCTTGGCCTCTTAGAGGCCTCTTTCCGCTTCCATTGTCCAAGTCCTTTTTTATCACTGGCTCCCTCATGTGGAAAGCAACGTGAAGAGGAAAGGTGGTTGGTCTTAACTCTTAAAGGAATGATAGGAGTGTCTTTCCTCTATTCTCTTTCTTGGCTTCAGTGAAGCACAGGAAGCCTCCACACGCTGGGGAGAGTGGTAAATGGTGTGAGAGGCCAGGTGTAGGGCTGCCAGATAAAATACAAGATGCTCAGTTACTTTTGAATTCCAAATTGGGTGCCTTGTGTTTTCACTTGCTAAATCTGGCAACCCTATTCAGGGTTGGACTGCCACCATGAATAGAACGTAAAGTGATGGCTGGAGACATTTTTCTTATCTGTATTTAATTAATCACCTCAGACTCTGTCGAAAGCTGAGGCCAATTGTTACGTTAAAGCAATTCTAGCCAATCTCACTCTCTAAAACTCCAAACAGTACTTTCATACGTTTTAGAGCTGAAAGGACGCCATATGATTAGTTACTATAATCATTTCATTTTACAGAGAAGCCAGCCAATGCCCAAAGTGACATGCCCAAGATCACACAACTCCTTAGTGTCGACTTATGCTATTTTGTCTCTTATTTGGCATTCACTCCATGCTTAGAGATACAATATATGAAAGTCTAACCAATAAAAGCTGTTTGCTTGTAGAATAAGAGTGAGCACTTCTGTACAGAATGCATGTTTTCACCTAGCATGTAAGACTGGCAAATTGGTATCTCCCCAAGATTCTTTGCAGGCCTGTCATATTGCAGAAGCAAAAAAACATCAGTCCTCTGTTTACAGATCTCTAATGCCTTCCCATGTCTCAGAATGATCTGGCTCCTTGCTACCACTCTATCCTCAACCCCTGCCACTCTCCCTGTCACTCCATCCACATCAGCTACACTGACATCCTTGCTGTTCCCCAAACATGCAATGCATGCTCCTGCCTCAGTGCCTTTGCACTTGCTGTCCCTTTTCATGGAATGTTCTTCTCCCAAATAAACACATGGTATCTCCCTCGTTTTTTGCATTCAAGTCCTTGCTTAAAAGTCAGCTTCTTAGATAGGCCTTCCTTACCACCCTTCTAAAAGAGCAGCCCACCTTCACAATAACTCTACATTTCCCCTACCCTGTTTTATTTCCCTTCATAGTGCTTATTACTATCTGACATAGCACATATATATATATTTTATTTTATTTTATTTATTTTTTTTCTGTTTATGGTAAAAGCCCCCTCCCCATCTAGAAGGTCAACTCGATGAGGCCAGGGAATTTGGTTCACTGCTGTATCCTGAGTACCTAAGAATAGTGCCTGACTCATAGCAGATACTGAACAAATATTTGCTGAACAAAATAGTATTTAGGTGTTCTCAGGGAGTAAAAGGTAAGCTCTGTAGCATAAGGGTCTCCTTGGTCTTCTGTGCAAAATTTGATGAAATCACCAGTCCTGGGCTCAAGAGGCTGCAGTGTCCAGGTGACTTCTGGGGACCTTTCCAATTATGAAAGTTTGTAATTCTGTGTTCCTTTATTTTTTAATCAAGGTCTGGGCTCTTTGCCTCCTTTGGCTGGAGCTGAGGGGGTGGGTTCAGGGGGAAGGGCACAGGCACATACACGTCCAGGGATGGGGCAGGTGCAGTCTAGGCCCAGGCCCTGTGCCCTGGACAATGGTGGAAGAAGGGTGGTCTCACACTGACCTGTCAGAAGACCAGATCCCACACCCATAATGATGGTGAAGCTGAATGCCCCGGAGTCAGTGAGTATCTGGTAGCCAAGCCTAGAAATGACAAAGCAGAGGTGGTCACATTTGGGCATCAGGCCGCAGAGGTCATTGGGGACAGAAAAGATTGCATCAGTAGTGATGCTGTCAGGAAGGGCCACCAGGAGAACAAATGTCCCCTCCCTAGGTAGTACATTCCTGTCATTCTCCCACAAAGCTATGCAGACATGTAGAAGGGGAAGAAGGGATTTCAAGACCCTCTTTGGCTTGCTTTAGTTCTCAGACCCCATGAACGATGAACTAGAGTAGAAGTCAGAAAACCCAAGTTCAGGTCCCAGTTCTGTTACTAGCTGCACGACCCTAGGCACTTAAACTCTCAGAGTCCTGAGTTTCCTCATTAGGCAATTAAAGATGAAGGTTTTATTTCTATCAGGGCGAGATGGAGTACAGCTTGGCCATCAGACCCATCTCCCCTGCCTACCCCCTTGGACATATGTGCCTGTCTGCTCTCCTTCAAAGCAACCCCAGGGCTTCACTTTAAACTATTAAGCGGCCCTTGGAGGACACCTGTGTGACCTTGCAGTAGGCAAAAAGTTCTTAAACATGACACACAGGAGCTAAACATAGAGGGAACAATGATAAATTGGACTATAATAAAATTAAAACTATTGTTCATCAAAAGATACCATTAAGAAAGTAAAAAATCAAGGAACTTCCCTGGTGGCACAGTGGATAAGAGTACACCTGCCAATACAGGGGACACGGGTTCGAGCCCTGGTCCAAGAAGATCCCACATGCCACGGAGCAACTAAGCCCGTGAGCCACAAATACTGAGCCTGCGCTCTACAGCCCGTGAGCCACAACTACTGAGCCCACATGCCACAACTACTGAACCCCATGTGCCTAGAGGCCATGCTCTGCAACAAGAGAAGCCACCGAAATGAGAAGCCTGCACACCGCAACGAGGAGTGGCCCCAGCTCGCCACAACTAGAGAAAGCCCGCGCGCAGTAACGAAGACCCAATGCAGCCAAAAATAAATAAATTAAATAAATAAATTTATTTTTAAAAAATCCCACAATTTGTGAAAAATGCTCCATCCAGCCCCCAAGCACAGCATCTGACTGATTTACATTCGCTCACCCAAATAGGAAATCGACAAATATTGTTTGTGGAATGAATGTAAAGTCAACTGACTCATCCAATGACATAGAGCTAATAAAGCAGCTGACCCACACTTCCCAGAAAGCGCTCTAACAGCCAGCTCAGTCCTTTCCCCATCTTTCCACTACATCCAGATGCCCCTCCTACGGAGGCAGCAGCATCAGTAACCATCATAAAGAAAGGGGCCATGCGTTGGGTGTTTACTCCATGCCAAACGCTGTCCTGAGCCCTTTAATTATTATATGTTGCTGAATCTTCACAGCAGCCCTGGGACATGGATCTTATTATCCTATTTTACAGATAGAAAACTGAGACTTAAAGAGAGTTTGAATACCATGCCTAAGGTCACACAACTGGTAAATGTGACCTTGGTCTGTTTGTCCCTGAAGCCCTTTGCTTCCAGCAGACCAGAGGCCACCCTGAGAGGGGTCATCGCTGTCACTGTGCCCTTCCCTTTGCCAGGTTCCCGCAGAGGAGAGAGGACTACTTCTTGGTCCTCGGCTGTCTCATCCTGATGAGAATTGGCTTGCAGAGGGGTGCTGGAGCCAGCTCACACAGACACACAGGCCGATGGTTCTCAGCTCTCCTCAACTCCACGTTCAGGGGTGTTACCTTGATGGCTTGAAATTGGCCACAGGGAGAAATCAGCAAATGCTCTAAGTCAGGGCTTTGTATAGTTCTCAAACTTGAGCTTGTATGAGAATCACACAGAGGACTCCTTAAAACAGACTGCTGGGCCTGCCCCCAGATTTCTAATTGTGTGGGTCTGGAGTGGGGTATGATTTGCATTTCAAACAAGTTCCCAGATGATGCTGATGCTGTTGAGAGCCACTGTTCTAGGAGAGCCACAGAATCACAGAATTTGGGGGATAGAAGGGTAGGTGATGCAGAAGTTCCAGGTCGGCAGCCCACGAGCAGAATTTGGCCCACACAATGTTTCCAATGATTTTGAATCTTTTGCCAATGCTTGGGAAGTACATGCAAAACTCTGGATTTCTGACTTTTGAAAAGTCATTAGATCTGGCAACACTTATCTTGGGACCCTGCACGGTATTAGCTGCCTGGCACTGAAGAGCAAATGCCCATAGTTTCCTCCCCTCACTGGTCTCAGTTTTAACCTTACCTGCCTGGTCCCTACAGGTATCTGAGTGTAGGACCCTGCTAGATCAACCCCTCATTTTACAGAGGGGAACTCAGGAGCCCAGAGAGAGGAAAAAGCTTTGCTGAGAGTCACACAGCTATTGAAGCAGTGACAGGCACATCATTGGAGTCCATTACAGAGATGCACTGCTTCACACAGACCATCCCCTCCCCACCCCCAAATGGGATGCTCTTCACCCCCAAGCAGCTCATGGAGGTATATCTCACCCGCTCACAGAAGATTCCTATAATTTGGGGCTATGGTCGTCTCTGTTGTTAGAGCTGAGGGATGCAGACCTCCATGATATCTTTGAGATACCTCCACAACAATGAGCTCTCATCACCCACTGCAGGTGCTCATAACCTTTACAGCCAGGTTTCAGCCACATGACCTTGGACAGCTAACTCCCCCGAAGTATCATTTCTTAGGGAAAGCTAATAATACCTCACCAGGTGGTTGTGAGGATTGAATGAGATGATGACATAATGATTTTAGCATAATGCCTAGCATTTAGAAAGCAGTCGAACAGCACTGTCACCAGTAATATTATTATTGTTATCACTAACTCAGTTCATCTGGAAAAATCTATCCCTGTGCCCAAGTCACTCTTCCATTATATGTGTCACATTCAGAAGATAAACAACTGCCCCCCACCGCAAAAAAAAAAAAAAGGAAAGAAACAAGAAGATAACTTCCAGAAGGTGATGGCCAGGGTTCTGATCATTGCTGTCCATTGTCTGGGGGGCACAGGACCTGACTCTGGTCCAGAGACCCACGGTCCCACCTCACTGTGTGACCTTAGCCAAGCTCCTTCCCTCTCTGGGTCTCAGGGATGGGCTGTAGTCAGCATTTTCCTACATTAACATATCAAATCCTCTTAACCACACAGTACCTGGCCTCAAGTAGCACCCAACACCCCTAGGAGGGGAGGAATTATCATTATCTTCATTTACCATCGGGTGACAGAGGCTCAGAGAGGTTAGGTAGCATGGCCCAGCTAGTAAGAGGTCAAGACCCCACGGCACACTTCACCACAACCTAAACCACCAGGGACTGAAAGACAGGCTCAGTTGGCTTGAGCCTGATTGCCTGCTCTGCCTGCATTTGGGGAGGACTCGGGACTGTCTGCCTTTGCCCTGCACCTAAGCTGCCTGCTTTAGAAAGAAGGGGCCTGGACAGGTGATAAGTCCATACACAGTAGGGGCTGGGCAGAATTTCAGAATAAATTGGCCAACAAATATTCACTGAAGCCTCTGACTGCCCGGCCCTGGGCACCACCCCCCTTCCCCGGCCAAGGGCTCTGGGCACACTCCTTCCTGAGCTGGATGGGGTGATAAGGGGCTGAGCCAAGTGACCTACGTGGAAATCTTGGTCCACTTGACCTGAAGCGCCATCAGCACAATGTTGGTGATCCCTCCGAGTAGACCCGGCAAGCCGAAGGTATATTGCACACCGTAGGTGTCATGGAGGTCCAGCGTTCGTTGAAGACACACCTGAGAACAAACACCATTATCAGCAGATCTGCATGTGGGACTGATACTCCTTACCCACCCTTTCACAGACCCTTGGCATCCAGGGCATCCAGGGGAATGGGCATTAGGACTCAACTAAATAAGTGCTTCTCAGATTTGAACGTGCACACACAGAACCTGGGGAGCTCATTAAAATGCAGACTTGGATTTAGTGGGTCTGGGGCCTGAGATTCTGCATTTCTAGCAAAGTCCCAGATGACACCAATGCTGGTCCGCTGTCCACACTACTGACATTTGGGGCTGATAATTCTGTGTTATGCTAGGGGCCCTCCTGTGCACTGTAGGAGGTTTAGCAGCGCCCCTGGTCTGTACCCTCTAGATGCCAGGAGCACCCCTCTCCCAGGTGTGTCAACCAAAACTGTCTCCAGATATTGGCAAATGTCCCCAGGGGCTGATTGAGACCTACTGGTCTAGACCAAACCTAACTGCCATCCAAGAGACTACATGGCTGATTAAAAGGAAAGAATCTGACCACACCTCTAGACGCCCAGTCAGTACTCCTTCCATTTCATCACTTGGCCTCCCAGATGGCTGGGAGCCAACAGATGTGGATACCAATGCAAATTTCATCAGGCTAGTTCCCTCCTTAGAATCCTCATTGTCTTGGGAATAAAAATTCAGACTCCTGAACTCGCCCAGAAGGTATTCCTGAGCACCTGCCATCTCCCAAGGCTATGGTGAGAGGCGAACTCCCTGATGAACTTTACGCTTCAGCCCAAAGAACATCTTTCCGTTTCCTGGTTGGGCCACGTGCTCTTCTTGCCACTGAGCCTTTGAACACACTGTTCCTTCTGCCTGGAGTACATTTCCCACTTCTTTCCCTGGCTAATATAAGTTCTTTGTCAATGCTCGGGTGAGACCTTCTCTGCTCTGGGAAGCATTTCCTGACCCATCTCAGGCCAGCTTAGATGTGCTCCAGTAGCAGTTAACACACTGTGTTGCGTTTATTTGTCCATTTCCTTCACTACACTATAGCTTGGGAAGCAGGATGACTGTTAAAACAAATGTGTTGAATGAATGAATGAATGAATGAAAAAATCAGTGAATCATCTTTGAATCCTTCCCGCAGTGATAGACTCAAGGAACCTGAGGCACAGAGAAAGTGACAGACACTGAGCCTCATGATACTTGTGATACATGTTTTTTGGCCACGCCGCGTGACTTGTGGGATCTTAGTTCCCCAACCAGGGATTGAACCCGGGCCCTCGGCAGTGAAAGCTCGGAGTCCTAACCGCTGGACCGCCAGGGAATTCCTGTGATACACGTTTTGCTGAATATGTCCTACTTTCATCAGAGGATCTCAAAGCCAGAGGAGATAAAAGACGTGCACTTCCACTCCAAAGATGAAAAGCAGACTACCCCATCTTTTGGTCAGATCGAACTGTTGGTAAGTTCTTCCTTATTTGGGATTGAAACTGCCTCCCTGAATATCCACGGTTCATCCAAATTCATCTTCTTGTGTCACCCAAAAGTCTATTCCTTTTTCCTCCATCAGGTCTTCAAACCTATGAAGATCTGTTGCTCCTAAATATTTCTCTTAGAAGCGTGTGATAACAAATCGGCTATAATGGCGCATTCTGATGTTACCAGTATATGTTGAATATTGAAGGAAGACAAATCCATCCACTTAGAAGAAGAATTAAATAATCAGAAGTGGACGTGACCTGGATTATCAGCCCAGCATCCCTCTTTTGAGTGCTGCCCTTCCCACCCCCATTCACATGGTTCATGAACAGCAGACTTGCATGTATGATGTGCCCTACCTCCCACCCAGCCAAAGATGGGCACATTATCCAAGTTAGACCAAGGAGCCCCTTCTCCAAAGAATTTGCAACTGGGGCCAAGAGATTTCACCTGGCTGCTTTCTTGAAGAGAAAGATGACACTCCACCATGTGGAGTAGGAGAAGAAGAAGGAAGTCTACAGGGTGAGAATAAAGCAGATGTTCAGGAAAAGCAAAAAAAGAAGAGTGGGGACTTCTTGGGTTCCCCACAAGACTCGCATCCCTGGTGCCAGCCATTCCTGGGCTCCTAGCAGCATTCCTGTCCTTGGGTTCGGTGATACCCCAGTAGCCTTCTAACAAATCCCCCTTATTCCTGAGCAAGCTTGAATAGGTTCTGATACTTGCTCCCCAGATCTTAACAAATGCACCATCCAACTTGAGTGGATCCCTCACCCAAGCTCTGAAGCTAAACTGAGAAGGTGCCAACGGCTGCCTAATGCAGCCCTTGGCACTACAAGATGGCCCGCCATGTTCTAGGGGCCTGGACCCTGGTGGAAGCCAAAGCAGCAGGTGTTCATTGCCCAGCTCCTTACCTGCAGGTACATGGCTCCCCAGATGGAGATCAGCCCAGCCAGGAGACCCAGCACCATGGCAAGCCAAGGAGAAGGGATCAGGTAACAGGGGGCGCCCACAGCCACACCTCCTGCCAGCACCGCATTGTGGATGTGAGTCTGCAGAGGAATAGCTTGTGGGTGAATGAAATGACATAGAGAGGACAGCATCTCTCTAAATTACTTGGTAAGCCGGTAGCAAGACAGCAGTGTACCATCTTCCCTGCTTCTCTGATCCTGAAACCAGCCCCTCCCCTCTGCTGAGAGTTCACCAACGGTCTTATCTCACCCCACTTCTCAGGCTGAGGGGGCAGTCACCCTGACTGGGAGTCATTTAGCCTGAAAGTGCAGTTACTCAGGATCCTAGCCATGCTCACACTTAGTTGTGATGTGTCCTTGGGCGCTTAACCACTCAGTGCTTTAACTTTGTCACCGGAAAAATGGGGTTTTGGTTGTATCTACTGATATGGTTATTGTGAAAATTGAGTTACCATATATAAAACTCTGAGCCCAGTGCCTGGCATAGAACATGAGTAAATGCCCCCAAATATAAGCCATTATTATTGTTTTTTTACTATTATTATTATTGGCTACTTGGTGCCGATGTCACCCTGTATTATTGGACCCCATCCCAAGAAGCTGGCCCTTGTTCCTGGGTCATGTCTCTGCTGTGACCTTTACCTCCTCTAGAGCTGGGGCCCTGCCTTGCTCTTATGCTACTGCTCTCTGCCCCTCTCAATTCTACCCAGATCTTGGAGCTCTGGGCCCTGGGACCAGCTTCTGGGCTTCCCCGACCTGCTGCCTGCACCTGCCTCCCTGGATGTTGCTACCTTGTCTGATCCTAGACTCCCTGTGACCATGGAGCTCACCTGTGGGGACCCTCACCTCCCCTTAGTGCTGTTAACCTGTCATCCTTGGCCATCTTCTCCCCCTTTCACCCCCCCCCCCTACCCCCCCCCCTGCCCCATCTGTCTAGACTTTCCCATCATGTCTGGCTGGCTGACCTCACGCCCTGATCAGCATGGGACCTTGTTTTGTCTTTAGTCTACCATCTCACCCATCTCTCCCCCGAAAACTCACACACAGACTCGCAGCTACGTTGATAACAGCAGCTAATATTTGCCCAGTACTTATTAGCTCTGGGCATGAAGCCCTGTACGTGCATCATCTCTCAATTCCCACTTTACATATGAGGCAGTTGAGACTCAAACAGTTTAAGTGGCTTGGCCAAGTTCAGATGGCTAGGGAAACAAAGTTCTTTACTTCTGATTCTGTTTATTCCATTCTTGAAATTTCTTCGGGGAAGGGGAGAGGATGGTTCATTCTACCCCGGTTTTTCTCTGCTGACTCTTGCTTATGGGAGCTGGCTTTAGTAACCACCAGAAATGGAGTTCAGACTTGGGTTTGTTTGATGTCAAGGCTGATAGATTTAATCACTCCCCCCAGAGGGCCTTTGCTCATTTGACAGTCTCCTATGTTCCAGGCCCATTTTGACAAGGCAGTGCTGATGGGCTGATGCCCCACGATGCTGCAGACAAGACCCCATCACCCGATATGCTCTTTCCCGACCTGTGGGGCTGGCACTGAGGCCGGCGGGTTGGGTGTGAATATGTGTGTCAGGCCTAGAAGACCCAAGTGCTGCCCAAGGGACAGCACCCCCTCCTCACCATGTTGATCTTCCCTTGAGGGTGCGCCAAGGCTGACACTGAGATGGCTGTCACCATGCTGACAGCAAGGGCGTAGTAGGTGTTGAACAAGGCCTTCTTCTTTTCATCTGGAATGTCCAGCAGAGCGGAGTTGAAACTCGGCCAGAACATCCACAAGAAGAGGGTGCCTGGAAGCCAGAGAGGGTCAGTGGCCGGAGCCGGTATTCCTGCTCCAAAGCCTGAGCCAGGGGGACTTCAGACAGGAGAATTCTGGACCTGGCAAGTCTCATCTCTGTCACTTTCTTGCTCTGTGACTTTGGGCAAATCATGTCTCCTCTCTGAATTCTTAAGCTGGTAGGGCCCAGCTAACATACTTTACAGGCAAGGAAACTAAGGTCCAGAGAGTTGAAATCACCAAACCCCAGGCCTCCTGACCCTGGCCTGTGATGGCTTAAATGCTTATTTTAAAAAATTAATGGGATGCTTTCATTTGGCCCAATGGCCTGGTATTCAGTTGCCTGCTGACGATCTCACTGCCTGATTTCCTTCTTCTAAGCCTCTCCCAGCCTCTAAGTTCATCACTTTTACTGGAGCTCTTCAAACTATTGATACACCATTATTACTCCTCTCTTCCCACTCCCATTCTTTCCTCCACTCCTAGGCCCGGCTTTCTTCATGTGTCCAATTCTCTGCTTTAAGTTGAGGACAAAAGGATTGGATAACCTTATTTAAACTGAGATGTAATGAGCCTCTCCTCTCCTTTGGATATTAATGAAGAGAAATTCCCTAGAGGGGAATTCAAAGATGTGAATTCATCAGATACCACTTGAAGAAATGGATCATTACCGAGGGGCTTTCAGACACCCAGAGAAGGTTGGAAAAGGAGAGAGATTTTCCTGCAGAGCCCTTTTGGAGCTTCTTGCCCACCCCAGATCCGAGCCCACCCACGCCACCTTGTCCTCACCCAGCATGGCGAACAAACTGGGGCTCGTGGCCGTCTGTTGTTTGTCCTCCGCTTCATTAGGCAGAGGCTTCGGGAGGCAGCAGGCCACAGTCAGCCCGAAACAGGCCGCAAACACGTGGATGTACATCATGCTTATGTGGTTGTCCATCTGCAACAAAACCCAGCGGGAACAGTGAGTGTCAGCACCTTCTGCCCACAGGGAGGGAACCTCCCGTGTTCCTTGGAGAAAGTTCTGGCTTCATGTAGGAGGCGTGACTTGAAGTCAGGAGACTGACCCAGCCCAGCAGCCCGCCTTTCAGAGGAGTCCCGTGAGTTGCTGTGTATTTATTCCCGACAGGTTTCTGGTTGGCTTTATTTATTTAGTTGGCCACGTCTTGCGGCTTGCAGGATCTTAGCTCCAGGACCAGGAATTGAATCCAGGCCCCAGCAGTGAAAGCGCCGAGTCCTAACCACTGGACCGCCAGGGGACTCCCCTCTGGTTGGCTTTAAACACTTTTGGCTGAAGTCCACTTAGGTGGGGGAAGAGCCACACGGACATGCACCCCACTGCTTCCTACATTTTGGCAGAATTTCAAATTTTGCATAGAGTATGAGTGATATGATCTTTGCACCATGAAGCAGCCAGAATTTTTATAATACTGAACTAAAGTGTTCAGAAAATTCCAGCTATATGTTAATTTTGCTTTACGAATATCGAATTTAGTAACCCTTCATAACTCACTTCGTGGGCTACTGGTAAGCCCTGTCAGCTGTGTCTTCAACAAATATCCAGGTTTGGCAGAATTTTCACCACCATGCTCCACTGATCCCCATCTTGGTTTAAGCCACCATCAACACTTTCGCAAATTTTTGCAGTAATCTTCTAACTGGTCTCCCCATTTCCACCCTTGTCCCCCAACTGACTCTTCTCCACGTAGCAGCCAGAGAGACCCTGTTAAAATCTTAGCTCATGGCATATTTCTGCTCAGAATCCCCCAGTGAGGGGGGTGGGAATTCCTCAATGTCTCCCTCAATGTCAAAGTCAGCGTTCTTCCTACGACCTACAGGACCCTGCATGATCTGCCCTCCCACAACCTCTGTGACTCCACCTCCTACTCATTCCACACACACTGTCCTTGCTGTTCCTCAAACCCACACTCATGGTCCCACATCAGTACCACTTTGCACCATCTGTTCCACTGCCTGGAGTGCACAGTGGAGGGAGTGGTCCACCGTGGGTACAGGCAATAAGGGGATGCATTGTCTGTAGAGAATTTAAAACAATTAAAGCAACTAAAAGCCCATCTGCTTTTTATTATCATCATGTGCCAGCAATTCTAAACAGTGTCACTGACACAATCCTCCTCCTGAAAGAGGCAGACCGCTCCCACGGCCCTGCCTTCCATCTGCCACTGTCCTCAGATACCCATGTGACTTGCAAACCTGCTGCCTTCAGCTCTTTACTCAAAAATTATTTGCCCAGGGAAGCCTTCCTTGGCCAACCTCTCTAACACTTTATCCTCCCTCACAGCTATTCCTGTCTGCTTTCCTCATTCTATTTTTTCCTCCATGGTACTTATCACTATCTAACACACTGTATCTGTTGCCTATTTTATTGTTTATTGGCAGTCTTTCCCTCTGGAATAGAAGTTCCACGACAGCTGCATTTTCCCACTGCCTAGAAGAGTGCCTGGTACACAATAGGCTCAGAATAAATATTTGTGAAAGGAATGAATGAATGGTAAGGAACCCTCAGTCACACATAAAAATGAAAGTCTGTGGAATTCCCTTGTAAGACCTGAAGAAGTCTTGCATTTTTAATCTCTTTGTGGTCCCCCAGGAATCGTCAGCTTGGAATACTCATTTCTTGAGTTGCCTCTACTGGGAACAGCTCTGGTTTCTGGCTCTAGTTTCCCCTGAGCCCTTCCATGCAACAAACCCAGGCTGAATTGAAGTTTTTGAGGAGAAGCAGTGAACTCTCAAAATCAGTGCCAAACCCTCCCCCGGACCAGCTAAACTAAAACATTGAAGCTGCAGGGAAGAGAGGAGATGGCTTTGAATTAATGCAGCTTTTTAAAACAACCACTATGAAAACCATAACAAAGCAGGAAAAGGCTTATAATGCATTGCCCACAGTGGGCTTTCCGTCTCTGGGAACTGACCTCTTTCCTTGACAGTTTTTTTTTTTTTTTTTTTTTTTGCGGTATGCGGGCCTCTCACTGTTGCGGCCTCTCCCGTTGCGGAGCACAGGCCCCGGACGCGCAGGCTCAGTGGCCATGGCTCACGGGCCCAGCCGCTCCGCGGCATGTGGGATCTTCCCGGACCGGGGCACGAACCCGTGTCCCCTGCATCAGCAGGCGGACTCTCAACCACTGCACCACCAGGGAAGTCCTCCTTGACAGTTTTTACCGTGAGAACCGCCTTCATAGCATTTGCTTGCTATGTTTAAATGTTTAGCATAGACCACACTTTTGCAACCCCATTTTGGCCTGTCTTTAATTTTTTTTAATCCCAGAAGCTTTATCAAATGGAGACAGAGCCCTCCCCTTTCACCTGCTCAGCCCTCATCCCCGAGGTCCCTCCTCACAGCACCATGACTCACATTGAAGACTTCCTTGCCGACCATCCTCGTGGCACTAAAGGCTGTCACCTCTATCAACGTCATCAAGAGCAGCTGCAGCAGGTTGACCCTCCCCAGGATGACACCCACTGAGATCAGCACAGACGTAGCGCTCATGGTGGATATCTGAATACTGGGGAGAGGGGGCAAGACAGGGATGATTGAGAAGGAAGGATGCCTCCCATTCATTCATCCACGCATTCAGCAAACACTTGTTGAGGACCTACTCTCTGCCTGAAACTTTTCAAGAAACTGGGGATGGAGTAGGAGAGCAAATAGACAAGATTTCCGCTCTCATGGGGATGGAGGCTGCCGAGTCTGGGGTCTCCTTCATCCCCTCCCCCACCCTCAGGATGGCAGCCACACTCTGATTGACCTGCATACGCTCATCTGTACTGAGGATGCGCCGAAGTTCTCATAGGAATGTCTGATTGTTCCCACGGGACCGCTTCTGGGATCTGACTACTAGGATTCTGCCCTGGGCTTCTCTTCTGCTGTCATCACTTACAGATGCCCAATAGAGGGCGCTCTTCACCTGCCCGCCCATCCTTCAGGCACCACCACCCTCCTCTCTCCCTCTCGCTGTAGTGGAAAGAGACTGGGTTTGGAAGTAGGACAAGCCTGGCTTCCAGTTCCAGCTTTTCCACTTGAACAGCTATTTAATCTCACTGAGCCTGTTTCTTCATCTGTAAAATAAGGAGGATGATAATACTTATCTCATGGGAGTGTTGCGGGGATTAGAAGGAATAGTCGTGCATGTGTGTCTCGCACACCATGACTGGCACAAAGAACTAACTCAGTGCTATTACTGATTCCTTCTTTCCCTTGACAAGTGAGCAAGCTTAGTGCAGGGATTCAGAAGGAGAAAACAATTTTTGTTTTCAAGACACTTACGATTAGGCTGGGGAGACAAAGCGACATCATGACCCTGTCAATTAAAACCATCTGCAATATCATGAGGCCAGAGGGGTTCGCTGGAGGGAGAGAGCAATGTGAACTGGACTCATCAGGGAGGGCTTCCTGGAGGAGGTGGCACTGAGCTGGACAATCCATTGTGGTTAAACCAACCCACCCTCCTCTGGCACTTTGCTGAGACCACCCCTCCCACCGGGAGCTGATGATGATGATGCCTCAACCACCACCACCACCATACTAGTGATATAGTAATAATAATAATCTATGGAGCATTACGTATAACAGGCTTGCAAGTACGTCACCTCATTTAAACTTTAATCCTCCAGGTAGCCCTCTGTAAATGGTGCTAGGGTACCATTCAGTGCCTCCATTTTACAGGTGAGGACATTGAGACTGGAAGAGGTGACTTGTTTTGGTAACGGCCACACAGCTAGTTAATGACAAATGTAAGGTTCAAACCCACCCATTTGGCCTGGATCCAAAGCCTGTGTTCTGAAGTCTGGACACAGACTTCCCACTGTTTGCTGCCAATGTAGTGTCCTACTTAAGGCTCAAGGACTTCAGAGGAAAAGCCAGAGGAGGCCAAAGGTATGGGGAAGGAGCCTCACAGGGGCCAGGAATTATTTGAAATGAAGGGTCACTCAGTGCTTCACTGTGGCTGGCCATGTTATCTTTTGGGTAAGCACTCATTTAACTGGCAAAAGCCTAATTCAAGAGATTCTGTGCCAGTGGGAGGATTTCAGACCTCAGGGGCCAGTTGGGACCAGGGAGGTATTAAGACAGTGAAGTACGGTACTTAGGACAGTCTTGTTCAGGCTGCCACGGTTGGGATCCTGACTCAGCCACTTCCTGGCTGTGTGGCCTTGGGCAAATGACTTAACCACTCTGTGTTTCCATGTCCTCATCTATAAGAGAGGCAAGGCCTATGGAGCTGTTGGGAGGGCAAAGTGAGTCAAGCAGAGTAAGGGGGTTGGTTATTGCTATGATAGGCCCTCCAAGACCTTTTAACATACAGCATTAAAAATATCACAACTTTCAGGGTTCTTTTTATTTTCATATTTGTTCCAATAACCATTTACTAAGTCCTTACTATGTGAGGAAAACAAAGGAGGACAAAATTGAATAAGACAGGCCCCCGCCCTGAAGGTTCTGGTCATCGGTGACTCAAGGCAGAACCGATTCAGTGCCAAGTCAGGCCTCGAGCTGGTGAGGCGGCAGGAGAGGGAGAGGGCCGTCTGAGAGGCAGGCCTGGACACCGCCCACCAGCCCAGCCAGAGCAGGAAAGGTCAGGAAGGAGCCCATTGTTCAAATTTGTGAAGCCAGCCCCATTGGGGGTCACAGCTGGGAGGACCCAAGTGGTCAGGGCAGGGCAGGGGCGTTCACTCGGGCTGTAAATGGCCTCTTCTTGTCTTTCCGGATTGACAGATTCCTGCAGGCAGGACGTCAGAAGACGGGGGCAGCCTGGAGATGCCTGGAGACTCAGGCTCAGGAAGCCAAAGGCTTGTGTGACCTTAAGCCAGGGCAGCAGAAACACCAGACCAGGACCACCCTATTGGAGTTCCCCCAGAATGCCCTTTGTCACTTCCCAGGTGGTTACTGGGGGGGTGGGGGGAGGGTTATTGAATCCCCATGGGGATCAGCTCTAAAATGGTTTAAAAGAAAAAAGGTGAAGAGTTTTGTTCAGGGCCCCTGGGGAGCTGGCTACACTGTGTTTCTTGTCAGGACCACTCTGCAGTGTGTGGGAAAGGTTACAGAGTTAAAACTGAAGTCACTTCCACCAGTTAGCTATGTGACCCTAGGCAAGTGTCTTACGAGCTCTGAGCCTCTAGTTCCTTGCCTGTACGCCACATCAGACCCCTACTTGGAAGGGCTAAACAAACAATGTTTGTGAAGTGCCCAGCACAGAGCCTGGTTCATGGAGAGATGTTTAACAGCAGTGCCCAGAGGTTTAGTAGGGTCTCAGAGGGGAGGGTAGAATGGCCTTGAAGGGGTCCCCAAGATACCTAAGGTGGGATTTACCCATCATCTGGGCAAGACAAAGTTTCAGAATTGGATAAAACCAAAAACCAATTTTTATAGAAAAATTTTACCTGGTTCCTCCTATTAAGTGTGAATGACTTTTTTTGCAGGTATGTACAACTTAATGTATGTGTGTGTGTATATATATACTCTTGTGTAACCATCACGCAGGATAACATAGAGAATGTTTACTGCACCACGTAAACTTCTTTTGTGCCCCTTCCTAATCAATAAACACCACCTTCCTCAGGTAACCATTATTCTGACTTCTAGCAACGCAGGTTAATTTTGCTAGTTCTTACAAAGGCATCTAAATAAATCAAAGTTAATTTAAAGAAACTAAAGACAAGGCTATTTATTGTCCACCAGCATTTGAGGACTGAGAGTACTTCCTTCTTTTCAAGAGACTCTCTGTCTGAGTGTGAGATTTCTATTTCTTTTTGTCTAATCTCTATTAATTTTTTCTTTGAACTAATATTTATTGTATAAGTTTATGAAATCAAAATCAACAAAAATGAAAGGATACAGGGTGGGCTGTAGATCTGGGCCCCTTGTGATGTCACAGAGTAGGGTTGTCAGATAAAATAGAGGATGCCAGTTAAATTTGAATTTTAGACAAACAATGAGTAATTTGTGAGTATAAATAAGCCCTGAATATTGCGTGGTGCCGGTGCTAGAAAGGGAAGGGGACAAGCCAGCTCTTCTAGAATCTGCCCTCTTGGGCCCCAGACTCCCAAGGACCCAAAAGTGATCCAGTGGCCGTCCAGTTACCTGGAAATATTGAGGACCATCTTCCTAAGGGAGAGTTGGTTCAGGAAGCCATCCAGCAGGACTGTCAGCTGCACCCCGAAGGCCAGCACGAAGAGACTGAAGGCCACGCTGCTCCAGCAGTGTCTCCGCAAAGATGTGTTAAGGAAACCCAAGCCAAGGACTGCCATGATGATAACATCCTGGAAGTCTGCTCAGGGAAGAGATGTCGAGAAGGAGGAGGAGAAGCAGAAAAGGTGGAGGGTTGTGTGAAATTGGAGTTTTACAGAACGGCAGCTGGAAGGGACATTGAAGATCATTGAAGAGTGCTTAGTCAAGTTATTTCCCCTCTTTGAGCCTCAGTTTTCTCATCTGAATAATGGGGATAACACAGACATACCATGCAGGTTTGAGGGAAGGTTTAACTGAGCTAATGCAGGGCCTGGCCCATACTGAGTGCTCAGTAAATGCAGCAATTATTGTTATTATTAAACACAATGATATGAACACGTGTAGAGCATCAGGACAAGTCCTTGCACATAGCTTACAATCAGTAAAGGTACTGACTCCTGCTTTTGAGGATCCGGTTCAACCTCCTGATCATGTGTGAGAGAAAATAAGGCCACAGAAGCTGGTGACTTAGCTCAGGTCATGCAGAAGAGGGGGCAGAAGCGGGTCTGGGGGTTCATAGGCAAGAACCAAAATTATCTTCGCAGAAAACGGCTCTCTCCCTTTGACCCCTGCTGAAAGGGACCTGGTGGGCCAGCAGAAAGCACCAGAGCCACACGGGTGACCCTCCCCTTTTCTAGCCTCGGACCCTGCACAGGGGCTGCTGTGACAGATGAGCGCAAGGGACTTAGCTAATGTTCCGGAGGGGACCAGCAAAAGGAAACGGGCGGATGCTTTGAATTAATGCCAGGTTTGCAAAATGGATAACAGTTTGGGCTCTGGAACCAGATAAGCTTGGGGTCATATCAGGGCTCCGGCACTTTCCGGCTGTGTGGCTTAATCTAGTTATTTAATGTCTCTGAGCATTAGTAACAGCCGACGTTTATTAAGTGTTTATCAAACGCCAGCACCGTTTTAACCACTTCACGTAAACGGCCTCATTTAGTTCTCACAGGCACCCTGCAAGGTGGGCGCTGGTTTGTTTGTTTTTTTAGTTGTGGCCGGCGGGCTCCTTAGCTGTGGTATGCAAATTTATAGTTGCAGCAGGCATGTGGGATCTAGTTCCCTGACCAGGGAACGAACCTGGGCCCCCTGCATGGGGAGTGCGGAGTCTTAACCACTGCGCCACCAGGGAGGTCCCGGGTACTGTTACTATCACCATTTTACAGACAAGAAAACCGAGGCACAGAGGGGTTAAGTAACTTGCTCCAGCTGGTAGAGTTGGGATTTCAACCTAGACGGTCTGCTCTGGAGCCTGTGCCTTGAGCTACCGCACTATCTACCCTCCTGCTTTTCTCATCTATTAAATGGGAAAAATAATCTCACCTCTCTCGTCAGGTTGCCAGAATCAAACAGTGTGAGGCACATAATTGCTCAGAATAGTAAAGACTATTTCATCAACAAACACCAACTATGTTCATACGTGTACAAATGCCTGGAGAGAGATCTTGAAGGAATTTTTTGCCCCGTGGAGATTATCTCTGGGTTTAGGAGAGTTTTATATTTTAAAAAATTTTCAGTGTTAAAAATTTCTACAACCAGCACGTGGACAGTAAGTAATTTTCTTTTAAAGGAAAAAGCATGGGCTTTGAGGTCAGACAGTTCTGTTTGACTCCACCTCTATCGCTCCCTATTAGGTTAAACCACATTAAATTGCCAACATTTGACCATTTTGACCTACAAAAATGGCAGTTTTTATGTTTCAACCTCTTAGCGGCACGGCCTTGTGGGTTGCTTACTTTCTTCATCCGCTAAATATGAGCAATTATCCCCCCCGGAGGGTGCTGGGAGAGCCAGAGGAAGTAATGTTTTGTTCAAGAGCTTGGCACCATGCCTGACACATGGAGAAAGCTCAGAAAGTGGTGGTTATTCAGCACCAGCACCATCATCACCGTCACAGCAATAAGAACTCACCTGGTCTCCACCCTTGGCTCTGATAACAAGGAAGCTCTCATTTCCAGATCTCTCCAAAGCCTCTTCAATTTACATTTAAATTCACTTTCATTGAAAAATACACATACCTAGAATCTTGCACATAGGACTTGGGTGGGTGTTGACGATCCCAGGTCAGTCTGACAAACACTGGGTTATAGGAGACCCGGGCATCTCCACAGGATCTGGGGACTTGGAGTGGGTGAGAAGTGGGCAATCAGGAGGATTCAACTTCTTTCACCTTTTTTCTCTGACATAAGGGAGGGGGAGGCAATGTTTCCATCTCCTGCTTGCATCCCCTTAGGAATGGGGGTGGAATGGGGGTGGGCAGGGCACATTTTGTATAGGGGCTCCTCCTGGGATCCCTCAAATTCCTTCAGGAGCCGAACAGGAAACTATGTATACAAAGGGTACAATGTGTATTAGGGAGTGGTGAGGGCTATGGCCAAATGGAGACTGCGAACTCCACTTTAGATATTCAAATTCAATCTTTTCTTAAACACTGCTGTTAAAAAACAAATAAACTAACAAACAAACAAACACATCCACCATCTTGCAGCAATGCTATATGCAAAGGGTCCAGATTTATCAAAGTTTCCATGAGTAGGGGGATCTTGCATTTTCCTCTCATTCTACAGGGGGACCAGAGACAGCCTGTGACTTACTTAAGGGCACACAGCATGTCAGTAGCAGAGCCAAGCTCTGGACTCCTGGTGCAGTGCCCTCCCATCAGGCTAGGCTGTCTCTTGCTCTTGTTTGCCCGCAATGCACTAAAGGACCTTGGGCAAGTCCCTTGCCCTCTTTGGGCCTCCGTTTCCCTATCTGTAACACATGGGAGTCAGACTTGATACTCTGTAAGGACCTCACCGCTCTGGTGTGTTCAGAGGAGGGGGGCAGTGGGTGGGGAGGGGAAGGGCACCAGGATTACGGCAGACGTGGGGCTCTAAAGATAGAAAGTCAGCGCCTCTTGGTTGGGGAGCTTTATCAGGCACAGCTGCCACGCCTGCTGCCTGGTATAGGCACTCAGGACCCTCCTCCCAAGACCCCACAGTGTCCTTGAGGGTGGGGTTGTGCTTCGGCCAGGGGGATGAAATTAGGGTGGAAGTTTCTGGGAGCTGTTGACAGAGCACATTCACCCCAAACTGGTCAGTAAATCACATTTGATTTCAGGGTCCCTTTACTCTCACCCCATGCATCCTCCCATTTCCTCTCCCAGCCTCTCAGGGCTCTGGCCCACCCCTGCTCCTCCCATGTCTCACGACCTGGACCCCAGCTTCAGCGCTGGGTGCCAGCTCAGGGCATCCCCACTGGTGCCAGCCTCTGCCTCTCTGACCCTGCGCTGAGCCCCTCACCAGCTGCTGGTCTGACAAGCTAATGATGCTAAGGTGTCCAGGGGTGATAAAGAGAGGATTGCTGCAGGGGCCCCAACAACCGGGCCCCAGAGGGGAGTTTTACATGCTGTCTAAGGCAGGCCTTCAGAAGTTTATGAAAGTCCCATGACTTAGAGAAAGTCTAACCTGGGAGTCCTGCAGGACAATAATTACCATCACTGTAACAGCGGGCACATACATGGTGCCCGCCACATACCAGGCACTCTTCCAAGTGCCTGCCAGCCTTAACCTTCAACAAGCCCATGTAGGAGGTACTATTTGTTATCCCCATTTTACAGATGGGGACAGGGAGGCACAGAGAGGTGCTGTAATTAGCCCAGGTCACACAGCTAGCAAATGTTGGTGGCAGAGCTGAATCCTGACTCTCTGGGCTTAACCACTATACCATCCTGCCTCTCCATACATTCTTCGCTCTCCATAGTGTCAAACGAAGAGCGTGGGCCTCTGAGTCAGGTTGTCAGAGTCCAGAGTCTGGCTCTACCTCTGTGTACCCGCTTGCTAGTCTGTAAAATGGTCTGAAACAAGAGCACCTGCTCAGAGGTTTGCTGTGAGTACTGAGCTCGCTGGCTCCTTCGAATTGCTTAGCCTAGCGCTGGGTGCACGGTAAGTGTTAGTAACTATTATTCCACACCTGCCACTTGTTAGCTGTGACTTCAGGCAAGACTGTTCCCCCTTCCTTCGGCCTGGCTGCCCCTCGGAGTCTCATTCTGTGTCCCCACCCACCCGAGCCCCTCCCTCTGGCCTGCAGACACGTCAGCATCGTCAGCTCTGAAGCCAGGCCAGACTTCTGTCCCTCAGGCCCTGGGCTCGGCCTCCACACCGTGCTCCCCACCACTGACTGGGAGGACCTGACTGCAGCCCCTGTCAGGGACCATCCACGGAGCCCCATGCTGCCTTCCCCCTCCCCGCATCCTCTCACCCCACCCTCACCTCTGCAGCAGCCTGGGAAAAGAAAAAGAGATTGCCCAATCAAAGGGGCAGTCAAGGCTGAGATATAGAAGGTACCAGGATTTGGGGGTATTTATATGTCACTGGCAAAGCCGCTCTTGTCTTTTAGTAGCTCTGCTTACTGCTTCTAAGGCGTATGGGGGCAATTGGGTGGTAGCCACAGTGCAGGGCCCAGGATGGTCCCCCAATGTGGCAGCTTGCAAGCAGGCTCTGTGTGATAGGTTGTCAGAGTAATGGCCCCCAGTGAATCAAGGTTTCCAGTGTAGACCCCTCCCACCTGAGTAGAGCCTTGTGATTGGCTTTGGTTAATGGGACATTAGCAAACACCATACAAGCAGAGGCTTGAAAAGCACCTGCTCATTGGGGCTTGCCCTCTCTTACTGTGGTAACACATTGGCTGCCATGTGAAAAGTCTGGGCTAGTCTGCTGGAACCACATGGGCTAGCTGCCAGCCAGCACTAACTGACGAACATGCAAATGAGGTTATCTGAGGCCATTCAGCCACCTCCAGGCTAGAGATGCATAGTGACCCTAGGTGAAACTGACAGAAGAACTGCATCCCCAAATACAGCCAAAATTGCTGAACCATGGAATCACAATCAGGAACAAGTTAGATGATTTCTGTTTTGAGCCACTAAGGTTGGGGGTGGTTTGTTATGCGGCAATAGATAATGGATGCACTTGCTTCCCCCAAGCATCTCACAGGCGCCTGAACCCCAAGCCCAGAATGAACATATCATTGTTCCTTTATCCCACAATCTGCCCCTCCCCTTGTGTCTCTCGTCTCAGGAATGAGCTCCTTCATCTGCCAAATCTCACATATGGAGCCATCCTTGACTCCTCCCTCGTTTTTGCCAAGAACAGCTGATTTTATCTCCTAAGTAGCTCTTGAATCTGACTCTTCACTTCTCCTCTATTGTCCCTGCCCATTTGGCCTCATCACAGGTCATCCAGGCCAGTGGTCATCAGAGTAGGGATCACACCCCTCAGAAGATGCTCCAGACAATCCATAGGGGCTGCTGGAAGAAGAGATATTAGCACTCTAGTTCTATTCGTTTTTACTAACAAAATTAAGAAATTAAAGTTTATTCATAATAAAAGATAATACTCTTTATCAGTCTTGGTATGTGTTCATTCTTCTAATCCTTTTGACAGCTAAATGAGTACTATCATCGTGTGACAGAGGCAGAGAGAGGTTGAGTGATTTGCCCAGGGTCTCACAGCTAAGAAAAGGCAGAGGCAAGATGGGAATCAGTCTAGCTCCAGTAGTCCTCAAGCTTCCATGAGCATTAGAGTCACTTAGAGCGCTTGGTAAAACACAGATTGCTGGGCCCCACCCTAGAGTTTCAGGTCAGTAAGTATGGATGGGGGCCCGGGAATTTCTAACAAGTTCCCAGGGGATGCTGAGGTGGCTAGTCTGGGGACCACATTGTGAGAACCACTAATCTAGGCTCTTCTACCCCTAAAGGCACTTGGTGAAGTTTGCAACTCTGCAAGCATTTAATGTTGAGATGAACCCAGGAGCCTCCTCTCACTTGCTCAGGATGTCAGACAGCTTAGTCTCCTAGCTTCGGAAGGTGTTCTAAGGGAATATTGGGCCACTGAGCAGGGGGGTGACGTGTTTCTCTATATGCGTCATGTTGCGACTGACGACAGGGATTTGTTTTTTTTTAAATTTACCTCTATATTATGGAAAATTTTAAGCATACACAAAAACAGAGTAGCATGGTGAACCTCATGTACCCATTCCCAGCTTTGATGATTGTCACATGGGGTCAATCTTGTTTTTATTATCCTTGTTTCCTTTCTTCTTTTTTTTTTTTTTTTTGGCGTGAAGAAGACCCTAGACATCATTCCATTTCAATATGCTTCTCTAACAAATAGGGCTCACTATTTGTTAAATTGTTAAACCTGTTTCTAAATAAGTTAAAAACCACCCACTATGCTATTATCACACCTAACAAAACTAACAATAATTTCTGTATATTATATAATATTCATGTTTTATTCCAGTTTCCAGATTGTCTTAAAAATGTCTTTTTTAAGAATTGGCTGGTTTACGTACGACCCAGCAATCCCATTACTGGGCATACACCCTGAGAAAACCATAATTCAAAAAGAGTCATGTACCACAATGTTCATTGCAGCTCTATTTACAATAGCCAGGACATGGAAGCAACCTAAGTGTCCATCGACAGATGACTGGATAAAGAAGATGTGGCACATATATGTAATGGAATATTACTCAGCCATAAAAAGAAATGAAATTGAGTTATTTGTAGTGAGGTGGATGGACCTAGAGTCTGTCATACAGAGTGAAGTAAGTCAGAAAGAGAAAAACAAATACCGTATGCTAACACATATATATGGAATCTAAAAAAAAAATTGTTCTGAAGAACCTAGGGACAGGACAGGAATATAGACACAGATGTAGAGAATGGACTTGAGGACATGGGGAGGGGGAAGGGTAAGCTGGGACGAAGTGAGAGAGTGGCATGGACATATACACACTACCAAATGTAAAATAGATAGCTAGTGGGAAGCAGCCACATAGCACAGGGAGATCAGCTCGGTGCTTTGTGGTCACCTAGAAGGGTGTGATAGGGAGGGTGGGAGGGAGACGCAAGAGGGAGGAGATATGGGGATATATGTATATGTATAACTGATTCACTTTGTTCTAAAGCAGAAAGTAACACACCATTGTAAAGCAATTATACTCCAATAAAGATGTTTAAAAAAAAAGAATTGGTTGGTTTAAATAACTTATCGTTTACAGGGACTGGGTTAGATTAAGTGGATTGACAGATTGCTTCCTAGTTTTAACTCAACTAACCTTCACAAAATGGACTAATGGCTCAAACAACTCCTGCCAAAAAAACAAAGATTGAAGGCTGATCAATAATGGCAGCCAAACATACAGAAACAAAAGGGCAGAGTGATACTTCTCCTCGTGCAGACTCTCGGTCAGCCACATTCAGAGTTTAAAAAAAAATGTCAATCTAACCATATCTGACAAGAAATCAAGCAAGATAATTTGAAATTGTTAAGAAGACCCCGAGGAATGGATTGCCATCCACTATCATTTATTTATTTATTTATTTATTTGGCTGCATTGGGTCTCTGTTGCTGCACGCAGGCTTTCACTAGTTGCGGCGAGTGGGGGCTACTCTTCATTGCGGTGCGTGGGTTTCTTACTGCAGTTGCTTCTCTTGTTGCAGAGCACCAGCTCTAGGCGTGCAGGCTTCAGTAGTTGTGGCACACGGGCTCAGTTGTGGAGCACGGGCTTAGTTGCTCCGCGGCATGTGGGATCTTCCTGGACCAGGGATCGAACCCATGTCCCCTGCATTGGCAGGTGGATTCTTAACCACTGCGCCACCAGGGAAGTCCCCACCCACTATCATTAACAGTAACAATGGACCTTGCCTTAAGAGTGACTGACACCATTATGATCAGTAATTTGAAAATATTTTATATTTACTTTTGATTTCTTTCAAATTTTCTAAGTTGTGTACATGTATAATAATGTACAAAATGTATTCATGTAGCGGTACGTATAAATATGGTGCATGCTTGAATAATGGTGTGCATGATCAGAAAAATTTGAAGCCCCCTGGTCCATACTACACTACAGCCTCCACACTGGCCTTCTACCTCAAGTCATGCTCTCTTCCCCATCCCCATGCCAGCCCTGGAATGGCTTTCTCCATAACCCAAACCCAAACTGATCACACTCCTGCTTCCTATTAGATCAAAAGAATGAAGGGCAAATTTCTCACTCAGTGCAATGGGTCCACCACACCCTGCTTCCCTATTTATGCTCCGACAGCACTGCACTGTTGAACCCCAGATTGGTGCAGTCCAATGAGTGTACACACAATGGCTCCTGCTGAGCTCTTGACCCTCCATTTTCACATGGTAACTCCTACTGAGCCTCCAAGTCCTGGCTGGGCAGTCACTTCCCTCCAGAGGCCTTTCCTGACATAACCATCTCCCTGCATGGACTGTGGGCCCTCCTCTGTGCTTCCATACCAAGTGAGCACCTGAGGACACTTATATCTATTATATGTTAGCAGCACAGCCTAGGTGTAAAGAAGAGGGACCCTGTACCCAAAGGACAAAGTTTCAATGTCGGCTCCTACGCCTACTGATTATATGACAAGAGACTCAACCTTACTGTAAAATGGGGTCGTGAAGCATCATGGTTAAGGGCATGGAAACTCAAACCAGGCTGCCTAAGTTTATTTTTTCCCCTTAATTTAGTTTTATTTATTTAATCTATTTAATTTTTTTTAATTTTTAACTTTTATACTGTAGTATAGTTGATTAACAATGTGTTAGTTTCAGGTATACAGCAAAGTGATTCAGTTATGCATATACATGGATCTATTCTTTTTAAAATTCTTTTCCCATTTAGGTTATTACAGAATATTGAGCAGAGTGCCCTGTGCTATACAGTAGGTCCTTGTTGGTTACCTATTTAAAATATAAGGCTGACTAAGTTTAAATCTGCTGTACTATTGCTAGCTGAACAACCTAGGGCAAATCATTCCATGTCTAAGTGCCTAGTTTCCTCACAAGAACAAAGGAGATCATAATAGTACCTGTCTTGTAGAGTTATGGTAAAGCATTTAGAATAGTGCCTGGTACCTAGTAAGTAATCAATAAATATCATCCCTGATTAGCATGCGTTTGGATCTCACATGGTTTGTAATACAGGGTTGAGGGAATGAATGAGTGAATGGATTGAATTACATTGTACCGGATTAAAAAGAATTAAAGTAAATTGAAATGAATTAAAATTGTGCCCAGGTCTCACTTGTCCAGCACTGAGAGCCCTCTCTGGGCTAGCCCATTAAGCAGTATAGGGACTTCCTTTCCCAAGTCATCTCCTTGTCCTTCTTTCCACTGCTGAGGGCCCAGGGATGCCTTCCCTTTGCTTCCAGTTAACTAGTTAATATCAATTAGAAACAAGCAAGCACTCAACTAGGCTCAAGTTTCAGCTTTGTCCCAGGGACTTCACTCAAGGAGGCCCTTCCATTATCATAAACAACATATTGACCCACAGATATACTTGAAAACTCATCTCAACTTTTAAAAAAAGCAAAAGCCACACCACTGTGGATGTCTGTCTTGTTTAGAGTTGTTCTCATCACAGCCTATGAATATTTTTAGCTGCATATAAAATAACAACCATCCTACATTCCCCTTCAGCCAGAGCTTATGGCTCTGGATTTGCAGGCAGAAAGCAGACTTCCCAGCCCCTAAGTGAGAGGAAAGCTTCCAAAAGGAGGGTGGCACAGAAATGAGAAAAAGAGACAAAAAAAGGAAACGAAATCCCCCAAACCCAACAACAACATGAAATTCATTGCTTTTAAGGAGAGAGAAGCGGGGGTGGGGGAGCAGAGAAGCAGAGAATTGTGAAGACCATTTGGCAAAGGGAATTCTAGGAACACAGAAAAGGAGGCCCCTCCCTCTGCCCTGACAAATCAAGGGAGGCTTCATGGAAGAGGTGATGGTGACACCGGTCCTAAAGAAGAGACTGTATTGTTGGCTGGGTCTTTGTGCAATGAATGGAAGAGGACGAGGGAACCCCTTTCCTCGGAGACTTTGTGGAAAGGAGCCCCTAGGCCCTTGGAGGACCACAGACCTCCTCTTCCCCTGCCCCTGCTATTTGCCTCTGTGACCACCTCCCCTCTGGACACTCACCTCGATAGGTCCTCATGAGCTTCTTCTGTTCCTTTACAGAAGTTTCATAGGAGGTGAAAAAGAAGAACATGAGAATGAGAGTCACCTCCAGCATAAAGGCCCACAGGGTCAGCGGGCCCCGCACAGACTTTTGGTACTTAGAGCCCATCCTGTGTCTGTCTCTGTGCGTCAGTTCCACCAGCACCGGGCATTACACCTCGGCTCCACACCCACTCGGGGGAGGGATAGGGGAGACACCCGCCAAAGGCCTTATCTCAGGCTTCAAGGCTGGCCCTGCTGGCCTGTCTATGGAGTTAACACAGGAGCAGAGGGGCAATGACAGGGAGGAGGAAAAAATGCATTTATTCCAACATTAACTGATTCATTCAATCATTCATTGACTTATTCATTCAACAAGGAGTTGCTACATTCCTACTACAGGCACTGTGCTCAGTTGAAAAGAGGGCATTCATTCACTTGATCCCCAAACATGAGAATCCTTCTCTACCCCTTACTTCGTTTACCTTCACTATATCTTGCAAGAATGGCAAAGAATAGATCAACTCAACACCTCTATTTTACAAATGGAGAAACTAAAGCTCAGATGGGGCTTTGGATTGGCAAAATTTCTCTTTAAAACCTTACCACATGTCAGAGAGGGCACCAAGTGGGCTCTTAAAAAGGATATATTGAATGAATGAATGAAAGCAAAGAGCAATGCTAAGCCCTGGGGAGGACACAGGACCCACAGAGAACTAAGTCCTCAGAGCTACACAGTTGAAATTATTTTTATTTGAAACTGTATTTAAATTGACCTGTTTCTAAATCTCTTAAGGACAGGTGGGAGAAAAGAAAAGAGGCTTGGGTCCAGCTCTAGTAAAACCCTGGTGAGGCTAAAATTGTCCCCCATTCTGGTCACTTGCTCACAGAGCATCCCAGGACTCTGCCTGGGGCATGAACACTGCAATTCATTTGAGGATGGCCACCGGCCTTAGCACGCCCAACCCACAATGGAGGACAGTCCCCTGGAATAGGATTTAGGGCACCTGAGATCTAGTTCTGACCCTGCAGCTAACTTTTCCTGTGGTCACATCCATTTGCTCAGCAGAAGACCTAATACATAGTAAGCATGGAGAAAGGGAGGGAGGGAGGAATCAAAGTTTTTTACCTTCTGCACTGGCCAGCTACTGGCCACTGAGTATAGACTGAATTTATGGGAGCCCAGAGACTAAAACTTGGCTAGGAGTAGCAGGGAGGCAGATTTTGACCCAACATGAGTGGATACTTTATTGACCATTCATGGGGTAGTGAGCACCCTGTCACTAGGGGAATGCAAGCAGAAACTGATGGTTGCTTGTCAGAGATGTCTGGCATGCGATTCATATCTGGATCAAGGGAGATTCTAATCACCTGGTAGAATCTTGTCTTTTTGTTTTTAGATGAAGAAACCGAGACACAGAAGGTCACACCCAAGGTCATACAGTCATGGGCATCAGTCACTTCTTGCTCAGCACAGCTTTATTTACAGAAGGGAAAAAATTGAGAATAACCTAAATGTCCAATAGTAGAAGACTGGTTAAGTAAACTACAGGACACACAATCTGCCACCCATATGATGGTTCTGAACATGGGGGAAAATCCAGAGGAAAATGCTTTTAAGGTTTCTCAAAAATGGCACAGAGGATATATTATTTGGTGAAAAAGGAAATTACAGAACAGTGTGTAAGTACGATCCCACTTTTGTAAAATAATAATGCCACAGTATGTTAAGACATGCATAGGAAAAAAAAATGGCTGCAAACCACTACCTGGTTACTTTTGCTTTAGGTATTTTCGGGAGCTAAAATTTACTAAGCACTTAGCATGCTAGGCACTGTCCTAGGCACTTTACATGTATGAACTCAGTTAACTAGCCTGTGAGATGGGACTATTAGCCTTTACTACAACAGAGGAAGCTGAGGCACAGAAAGGTTAGGTGACTCGCCCAAGTTCATGGGGCTAGTAAGTAATAGAGCTGGGATTTCAACCCGGGCAGTCTGACTTGTGCACCTGGGTGTTGAACCACTTAACTTTAGCCCAGATAACTTCTAAGTCTTCTTCCACTTCTAAAAGTCTAGGAATGTAGGATTCTAAGGCTTCTGCTATCTCAACAGTAAATAAGGGAGTAGGTGCCCTGGTCTCTAGAGATTGGTCAGCCCTGGTTCTGATTTCTGGTCCTTTTCTGGCCATCAGCACTTCTGATGAGCTGGGTTTCCTTAAAGAGGGACTCCCCTGTGAGGGCGATAAGTGAATGTGACCCCTGTTGGCATGGGTCCTGTACCAGCAGGTTGTAAACCAGGCAGCCCAGGGAAACCAAATGTCAGGCAGATGAACACCAAAGGTTTCCAGTCGCTGCCCGCCCCTGCGCCTGGAGCCCCTGATGGTTGCGTTTCCCAGCTAGCAAACTCAGTGATGACGGCAGCTGGTTCTCACAGAGGCATCCTAACCCACTGTGTGTCCTGATCCTGCCTCAGTGAGGGATGGACCGCTTGACAAGAGGGCCAAGCTCCTCAGTGAACAGAAAGGCTTTTTTTATTAAAGAGAGGGGACCCCCACAGGTGGCCTCTCCCAGAAGACTGGTCAAAAGGGGAGTTTTCTGTCTTCCTCTCTAACTCTTGCAAAAGACCCCTGTTGTCTGATGACAGTTCCAGCTAGTGTGACTCCAAATCTTCAAGGCAGGGCCCCTAGTACAGAAAAGCACAGGCGATCTAGGCCAGAAATGTCATAAGGCAAATCAAATGTTAATTGTTGACTCTAGGTGGGAGGTGAATGGCTTTTCACTGAACATTTCTTTCAACTTTTTTGATATATGTTTGAAATTTTTCATAACAAAATGTTGGGGGGAAAAGGTTCTGTGTGCACCTGCCACTCCCTATGCCAAAAGCACCCCTCCACCCAGGTATCTGCATGTTCCTGCCCTCGCTGACCCAGATCCAAGCAACAGGAGACCAAGGACTTTTGACTGTTGTATCCTCAGCACCTGATGCTTAGTCCATAGTAGGTGCTCAATAAATATCTGTTGACTGACTAACAACTGCCATTTCTGGAATGCCAAGCACTGGACCCGGCATTTTGCGTACATTATTTCATCTACTCTCCCCCTCAAGCCTGTGAGTACAGGCATCACCACTCCCATTTTACAGATGAGAAAACTACGGCTCAGAGAGGTGATGTGAATGCCCAAAGTCACAAAGCTAATAAACAGCAGAGTCGGAACCCAACCCACATCCATCTGACGCCATGGCTTGTGCTGTTAACTTCTTTGCAATTCTGCCTTCCATTAACTAAACAACTCACAGTCTCAATTTCCTTGTGAGTCAAATAAGATGAGCTGCTTTGCTTTCCTCACAGAGTTATTATAAATGTGAGACTATGTAAGCATGCTTGGCAACCTGTGTTTCGGAAATGAAGGTGAGCAAGTGGTGCCATGACTGTGGCCTCCTGTTCTGAGTGACCAGGCTTCCTCCGCGTGTGATGAATCAAGTCAGAGAGACTGCAGCTTTCACGTGTAATCTCGCGTTTTCTGTAAGAAACAGGACTCTATGAGAATACTCACCAGGCCCTCCTCACCTGAGCCAAGTATTGTAAAACTCAGTCATGAGCAGTGACCAAGGAGGTAGGTAGGCCCTCCATCTCCTCTCTGGAAGCTTGTCCAAACCAAGGGTTTGATCCTGCTCTGGGCATGCCTGGTTAAAGTGTGGCTAAGTCAATAATTTATTCATTTAACAAACATGAGCTTTGGAGTCAGGCAACATGGGTTCAAATCCTAACTCTGCAAATTATTAGCTGTGTGACCTTCGATAAGAGTACCAATATCTCTGAGTCTGTTTCTTTACCTGTAAAGTGGAGAAAATCAGGATCGATCTCACAGGGTGGCTGTGAAGATTAAATGAGGTAATGCACATAAAGTGTCACGTGTAGAAAACACTCCATAAATGTTAGCATTATTATTATGGCACAAGCTTGGCATGTTTACCATAGGAAACTTCAAAAATGCAAAGGTGCGTAAAGCTTACATAAAGCACCCATGATTTCATCATCTCCCCAAACCAGCTCTACTTCTTTGTGTATATATCCTTTCAGATTTTTTTCTATTCATGTGAATTTATGCCTTTTTTCTTCCCCTACAAAAAAGGGATTATGTAGCAAATGTTTAGTAACTTGCTTTTTTCATGAACAGAATATCACAAGCGGTTTCCAAGCCAGGAAAAAATCTTTCTATAACACTATCATGGTGGATAAGAGCCCAGGTTCTGACACCAGACTGCCTAGGTTTGAATCCTAGCTCTATCACTTACTGTGTGACCTTAGGCAAATGACTTAACTTCTCTGTGCCATAGTTTTCTTTTCTTTTCTTTTTTTTTAATATATTTATTTATTTTTGGCTGTGTTGGGTCTTCGTTGCTGTGCGTGGGCTTTCTCTAGTTGCGGTGAGCGGGGGCCACTCCTCGTTGCGGTGTGTGGGCTTCTCATTGTCGTGGCTTCTCTTGTTGCGGAGCACGGGCTCTAGGCGCACAGGCTTCAGTAGCTGTGGCACGTGGGCTCAGTAGTTGTGGCTTGCGGGCTCTAGAGCTCAGGCTCAGTAGTTGTGTGTGTCACAGTTTTCTCATCTGTAATATGGCACCAGTAGTAATCTCTTTGTCACAGGACTGTTGTGAGGGTTAGATCAAAATGTATATGATACTTAGAGGAGTGCCTGCACATAGGAAGTGTTATGTGTCATCATTCTCCATGGCACACTGATTTCCACAGTAAGGATGTGTGGTCATTTGTTTGACCAGCTCCCTTTGTGGGATAGCTGGGCTGTTTCTAAACTGTTTCTGTTCTAAACATACTATGAGCATCGTTCATTAACAGCGTTCTCTGGGGGATACAGACACACGTATAGGAGGTGGCCATCCAATGTCTGGATTTTTCTGTGACTCACGTGGGACAGGAACAAAGCTCAAGGGAGCTGGGCCAGCCGTGCCTGGCGGGTTTGAGGGGATCGAAGCTGCTGAAAGAGGTGGGTATGCAATTTCCTCATATGTGAAATAGGGTGTGATGATCTCTCTCCAGGCTATTCTGAGCTATTTTGAGCTCAGTTGAAGCTCACATGCCAATCCCAACCCCTTGGCCATCAGAAAGTCCCAGGAGAAGAGGAGGAACAGCCCTGAATTCCTGTCTGGCCCTTGGTCTTTTGAATGAGAGCAAATGATTTCCTCTTCCCTGTCTTACTCATCTGTAAAATGGCCACTGCTGATCTCCCCTGCTTCCTGATTGGTGGTGGCAGTGTGGGGAACTGGGGAGCTCTGTGTCAGGCCTCATCTCAGCCCAGTTCTGTGCCCTTAGGATCCCAAAGGGTCCTTTCAGGTTGCAGAGGTGAAAGGCTGGAACTTGGCTGGAGCCAGAGGGGCTTGGGCTATGGTCGGTCAGGGAAATACAGGATCCAGCTGGGACAGGAGGTGTGAGAGGAAGGGAATGGAGAAGGGCAGACTTACTGTGGCCCGTCCTAGGGCTCTTGACAAGGAGGCCTTTCCCATCAACCCACTCCAGCCAATCATTAGATCAACAATCCTTACCATCAAGAGCCATGTACAGGCACCAGAGCACCAAGGCTTCATATTGCTCAGCTCGTGACTCAAGCCAAATTCCTTTACCATACCAACTGCATGACCTTGTTTTCTCTGAGCTTCGGTTTTCTCATCCGTAAAATGGAGCTAACATGTTCTGTTTCTAAACATAGGGCTTGAAGTGTCTCCAGAGTTGATCTTGGCACAGGGCGGGCTGGTGACTCAACTCTGGACACCAGTGAGTTGACATTTGAATTGGGACTGGAACCCAGACCTCCAGATTGCATCATCTTGGGCCAACCCTGGGATTCTCTCTGCCCTTCCTCTGCTCTCAGATAGTCTGTTGCCCAATAGTAACTCCCAGCCACATACTCCAGTAACACCCAGCCACTCCACACTTCTCCACATGGAATGCCCTTGCCAGGAACCTATTTGATGGCAGGCTAGACAGTGAGCTCCAGAAAGCTGGCATGTGTCCCCAGTGCCTCTCTCATCTTTTCTCTGGATTATTCACCTACCCATTCCGCAGTGTGCCGTGGCACTGTCCTAGATGACAGGGACCCAGTGAGGAGTGGAAAAGACCACAGATACGGCCCCTAACCTCACAGAGTTGACTGTCTTAGTCCCTGGCCCAGGTAATCTGGAAACTTGCAGTCATGGAGAGGAGGGCTATTCAGGTTGACGAACCCCATGGAGTCTGGAGCCATGACCTCACCATGTACCTATGCCTTTCAGCCTCCAGTCATATTGATTTAGGTTCTGCCTGTATCCTTCTCCATGAACCAACCTGCCCTGGCAACTGCAGTCTTTTTCTGTGGTTCCAAGCAGAGCATTTCACAATGACGGACAGCCTTGGTGAAACTTTGAGCTCACAGAGTATGTTATCCTTGGCTGCCCGGTGACACTTTATCAACATGCTGGAGTAGAGGTGAAGGAAGAAAACCAAGTATACTGTTAACAGAAATGACTTGCTCTTACCTACTGTATGCCTGGCCCTGAGAGTTCATCATCTGGTAAGCCTTCAAACAAACATGCGTGAAAACAGAGGCTCTGAGACATTCAGTAACTTGCCCAAGCTAGTAAGTGGCCAAGCTGGAATTTCAATCCTGGTCTGAAAAAGCAGGTATTCTTGCCATTTTTCTAAACTGCATCTGTACAGGGTATGAATCCAATCCCCAAGAAGCTTTTCATCTAGGTGGATGGACAAGCCTCACCCAAGAAACCACAAGTTAGGAACAATACTGACAGAGATGCTCTCTGTAGAAGTAAAGGCAGGAATGAGGGAAGATAAGGTTGTACTAGTGGGTTTGAGGACAGTGAATAGATAAGGCTTGCTTGCCTGAGGAGGCCTGGAAAATAGGGGTGGGTCCCCATTGTGACCATCTTTGGATGCCGTAATAGAGAGAATGGGTTTTCTCTTTCAGGCACTGGGTGATCCTTGAAGATTTGCGACAGTATAAAAGAGCAGCAGTGGAGGGTGATGCATTTGGTGTAAATTACAAGTTCCTTCTTGGGGCAGGTTTTTATTTCGGGGTGATCACAGGGCAGGGAGAGGTCCATGCATCCCAGGACAAAACAAGACGGCATCTGCTTCCTGTAAGTATTTAAAATGTGCTGTAAGACCATCTAACTGTCCCACTGTTGGTGAGTGGTTAAGTTGGTACAGCCACTTGACAGGAGATTTTGCATTCATCAGAAATATTTAGGAAGGGTGCATTAATTATAGCATGTAAAAATGCTTACGTTAGCTAAAGAACAGAATACAAAATTGAATATTTAATATGATCACTATTCTGCTTAATAATAAAGGCAACAGTAATAGTAATAATATATCATCCATGGGGGAAAACTGGAAAGAAAGGGGAATATATAGAATGCTAACAGTAGTTGTGTTAAGGTGATGAGACCCATGGGTGTTCCCCCCAACCCAGCAACTGTGCTACATTTCCCCAGTTTTCTTTAATTACATGCATTCCTCTTTTCGACATACATTCATCTTTTTCTTTCTCTTAAAAAAATTTTTTTTGTCTTTTCTGTTATTTTGCCATACCTACGTTGCAGGGGTAAATGAACAAATGGATGCAGAGCACCTAGCACGGTTCTTGGCACAAAATCGGGGCTCTAGGAATGTTAGGTGAGAACGGTCGCTGGCCCAGCATCCCCGCATCTCCAGACCTCTGCCCGGCGTCAGAAACGCTCCCGAAGCCGACGCTCGCCGGGTCCAGCAGGCGCGGTGCCCGCAAAACCCGCCGCCCAGCCCGCCCTGCGTACGTGGAGCCCGGGCCGCACCGCCCCACACACCCACTGCAACCTCGCGCGACGTCGCGCTCACCCACGGCCCCGCCCCCTGTGACACCACCTCCAGGAGGCAGGACTGCAGCGGCCCCGCCCGCGCCTCCGATAGGCCGCCGCGCTGTCACCGCGTCGGGGGAAGCTGGCAGGGCGTGTGTGTGTGTGTGTGTGTGTGTGTGTGTGTGTGTGTGTGTGTGTGGTTTGCTTTGTCATTCGTACCCCCGTCGCAGGCAGGCGCGGCCGGCTTGGCCGGGCACTCCAGGCTCCGCAGAAAAGGCCCCCGGCGCTGTCCCCGGCGGCTCCGGGATGAGAAGGGTGCTGTGAGCCCCTTACATAATGATGCGACTGACTGGAGCACAGTTCAGCCCAGATACGCACATGCCGCAAACCCAGGCCTCGCGATTTCATAGGGTGCTAGTGATAGCCTACAATGAAAACAGCACCGTATGCTCTAATGTGGATTATAATACAATGAAATGCAATCCAATAATAATGAAATGTATCTTCGCAACAGGGCATAATATAGGATGTTATATTTATAGGGCCTATTTATAAGCCTCTATTTAAGTCTTTTCTGATAGGCTCGGACTCGGGCCCAGACACCGTAATGATTGGGGCACTCTTCTGTCCTTCAAAGAGGCGGGTTCTAGGGTCCGTTTTGCCACAGCGGGCCCTGGGATTGGCCGGCAGCGGCGCAGAGGCGCCTTCGATTGGTCCCGAGGGCCGTCCGTCGGAGCGGAGGAGGCGGGGCAGGCGGCTGGCTGGTGCTGGGGCGGGCGGGCCCCGGAATTGTCATTTCTTTGTTTCCGAAGGCGGAGGAAGCGCTGAGCCCACACCTCCTCGTCCCACCCCCTCCCCCAGGGTGCTGGCTCCATGTCTGTGTGACCGGCCCCAGGGGTAGAGTCCAGGCCCGACGCGGGGCGGGCCGGCGGCGGCGGCGGCGGCGGCGGCTGAGGTGAGAGGCGGCGGCGGCGCGGGCACCCGGCCCCCCAGCGGGAGGATGAAGCGGCGGAACACCGAGTGCAGTAAGCTCCGCCGCCCCCTAAAGCGGAACCGGATCACCGAGGGCATCTACGGCAGGTGAGCGGCGGCGCCCCCGCCTCCGCCGGCGCGGGCCCTGCGGCCCCCGGCCGTTTCTGGAGGGGCCGAGCCCCGTTATGTAACCCCGACTAGGCCTCACGCCCTTGCCGGGGGCTCCCCGGAGGAGCGCTGCCCATGGGGCCCCGGGCGGCCCGCCGGGGTCCGCCCCGAGGGCGCGGGGCGTGGCGAGGGCCGACGGCCGGGCTGGGAGGGCGCGGCGGGCGCGGGCCGCCGTTGGGACTGTCCCCAACGGCGGTGACCCCCTCCCCATCCGCGCCGCCGGGCCCTCGGGGCTGCTCTAGGGGCTGAAGGGCCTCCGCTGGTCCCCCAACCCGCTCCGGCCCGGGAGTCGCCGGCCTGAGTCGGGAGGCGCGTGGAGCATATGCACTGGTGCGGGGGAAGGCTGACAAAGTTGGGAGCAGACAGTGGCCCCGCGGTCCCTCTGCGGACTGGGCAGGTGGCCACGTTGCCCCCTTTCGCCTTTTACTTCTTTTATGGGATCTCAAACTTGGCACCGAGGGCTGAAGCCGATACCCCCAAATCATGGCCTGTGGCCGTGCTCCAGACTCAGGAGTGATGATCATTTTCTCAGCAGCATTATTTTGACAATTCCAAGCAGATAGTTTTCTTCGACCCCTTTAAAAAGGATTTTCTCCAAACTCGCGTGGTTTGTGGTTGTTGTTTTTAGTTTGTTTTAATTCTCCAAAAACAAAGCAGTGTCCCTTTAAATAGAAATTGAATTCAGGACTGAGGGGTAGAAGGACAACAGGTTCATGGGGCAACTTAGTGAGAATCCCAGCTTCCCTAAGCAAAATTTGTGTAGGACTGTTATTTTCTGGTTCTCACAATGTTAATTCTGAATGGTACCTGCCTTGATAAAGAAATGATTTCAGAGGAGAAGTAATTAGTTTACAAAGGAGAATTCTCAGGATGTGCATATAAGCTTAATTGGTGTTTTACAGTTTAGCTCTTCTAGCTGTGGGACTTAGAGAAATATGTGAGGTAGCTGGTAACACCCAAGTTGCCTTAGCATAGCTGTACACCTTGCACATGCTACTGTTTACACATTTAGAATGATTCCTTTCCACAAGCAGCTGACCGATGTAAACATTGGGTGTTTTTTTTAATTTCAAGCTTAAAAGGGTTAAGAAGTCAGTTGAAACAAAAAGTTTTTAGATATATCCTTATGTAATGAGCCGCAGATCATAGGAAGAGTTCATTCATTAAACAAATCCATGTACTATGTGCCAGGCCCTGTTCTAGCTAGTAAGGGTGCAGCAGTGAGTAAAACAGGCCAAAATCCATGCTGAATCAATCAAACCTGACCATTTAAACTAAAACTGTAAAAGCAAAAACCATTTTTCCTACAGATTTAATGGGTGGGGGAAAGTTCTCTTCAAGTTACACACACTATAATTCTTGAATAAAGGAAGGGTTTTCCCCCTGCCTATTGAAAACGATTTGAACAATTTAATATTAATAGTGACACAAGAATAGAAAAAGCGTGTTAAACAGAGTTGGTAAAGCAAGGACAGCTGTGCCATTTGAATGGCTGCTATTTACAGTAACATATGGTGATGTACTTCTGTTTATAGTGAGAAGATTGGGAATCCCATATTGTTTACATGTTTTCTGTTGTATTTCAACTTCTCTAGTATTTGAACAAATATGCCCAGTTTAGTACCTGCCCCATAGTAACCACTCAGTCAGTGTGCATCAATGTGAAGAAGTGAATTTACTGTCTAATTAAGGTCTATTATTTTATTGATGAACTTTTGGAATTTGAATTTTCTTACCCTAAAGGTTAATAGTAAATGCCCTATGCAAGTTATTCAGAGTTTCATCTGTAAAAGTTTAAAAAACCAATAGTACTTCAGCTCTCAAATATCCTTACTCTTCTCTATTTGGCATTCTTTAGGTTAAACGTTAATAAAAAAACTTACATATATTTCTACTTTCTTTTCTCTTGGAGCATCATATATCAAATGAGTGTTTCAATTCACTTATCTGTTTCTTAGTGTATATTATGGAGTATTATATTATGGAATATTATTGTCTGAAGAACAAGACCATAGTGTTGGGGTTGTTTTTTTTTTTTACAATTTTGTTTTTAAAAAGATTTAGAAAATTTCCAGTTATTTCTAAAGCAGACATAATGAGTGGGTTAGTTACAAATTAGGTGTTTGAGGATTTGTGAGTATCAAATTTCTGTTAATCATCACATTTAAGTCTACACTAAATTGTTTTTCACACCATTGCCCACTTTGTTTCTCAGTGTCTGGCCAATTTTTATCTCATTAAATAGAGAGCTTTGTTTTTTTCTCAGGCTCCGTTGACAGTTTTGATAACCACTATCTACTGTTTCACAGCATAACTTTTCATGGACTTATTATTTTCATGTTCTCAGTCTGCACAGCTCTCTGAGCTTGGCATAGCAAGGAGGCAGCTGTGGTGAAGAGAGCACTGGACTGGGAGTGTCAGGAGACCTAGGTTCAGACTCAGTGTCCCAGCTCTGCTGTGTGGGATAGGCAGGGCATCCACCGCTTTGAGCCCCAGTTCTCTCACCTGTCAAGTGAGTTTTGAGGACTGAGAGGAAATAATGTACAGTTTGTGAAACTCTGTAAATTCTAGCATGCTTAATACAAACATTATTTAGCATGTACTTGTTATCGCAGTTTACCATATTTGTTTTATTTTTAAGGAGTCAGGAAAGACCATAAGGTTTGGTACAACTATCAAACAAAAGTTGAGTAGTCAAAACAAGGGGTCAGTTTCTGCTTGGTCTTGCTGAAAAAAAATCCTGTTGCTGAGATGCTTTTAATCATGGGCTCCAATCCAGCAACTGTGACTGAGGTGATTGTCAAATGATATCATTATTGTCATTATAATGGCTGTGGTAGAATTCTGTTTCAGGGGTAAGGTAGATGGAAAATGGATTTTAACATTATGTTAGTATTACCTACATTTATATATATGCCCATCATTTGAAAACTGAAATGTATAGAAATATGTTATTCCGGTCAAGTTAGTAATCAAAAATAAGAGAAAGGAAATAGGAATGGTGATTATTTTCTTTTATATTATTATGAGCTAAAATCAATGTCATTTTCAAAAACTCTGAGCCAGTATAGAGCCTGACAGAGAATAGGAATTCAGTCCTCAGTAAATGTTGAGCAAGTGAATTAGTAAATAAATGAATATAAACCAATCCATTCTATTCATTTAAGAACCTGCGTTGTTTTGGTAATTATGGAGGATACAGGATAAGACATGGTTCCTTGTCTTCCAGGAGTTTACAGTCTTGGAGGCCATAATAATGCCCTCTTAAATTTGTACAGTGGTTTTGAGGCTCCAAAGAACTTTGAGTTCTGTTCAAGTAAGAATATTTTAGTTGAATTAAATTTTCGCTTGCCGTTTTAGTGGTTCACCTGATGCATTAACAATTTTGCCCTGTACTATTTTATGATGCGGTACACAGTTGCCACTATGTGAGGGAATATGTATTTTCTAACTCAAATGAAATAGATGTGAAAGTACTTTGGAAGTTATGAAAAACGTTATTAATAAGAGAAAGTAAAATGAATAACTCTACATAACTATAACATTTCAGAGGTCCTCGGGTTTTAGGGCAGTGACTCTCTCCCTGTGTCTGCCTTCACACATGCACCAGACCCTCCCAAAAGTAATATCTAATTACTCCATGCAGTGATTCTCCAGGTGAAGTGGGGTTGGAGTGCTATGTAGATTTTAAAAGGCTTAAGGGAATTCCGGGTGGTTCATTCACCTTTCATCTTGCCTGAGAATTAATGATTTTATAATAGGAAGATGAGGAGATAAGGTGTGGTGAGTAGAAGACAGAGGCAGAAACATTTATGTTTAAAGTCTCTGCAGTTAAAATTGTTCCTTACCCAAGTAAGTAATATAAGAATTTTAAGTAAGGCAGGTGTTTTAAGCTTCAGGAAATTATTTTATAGCTTTGTTACTGGTGGTTGAAGGAAGCATTCCTTCACTGGTGGATTTCTGGATACTTCCTGTCATGGTGTGCTGGGTTCTCCTTGTAGTATGTTGCCTGAAGCTTAAGCAGTGTAGTACTGTACCTGACTTTTACATTTTAGGACTCGAGACTTCCCTGGTATATACAGTACCTTTTCCCATCCTTACTTCAGAGAAGAGTTTTCTGGCCTTTGACTTTCTAAATGGTCAAAGTTTACATACTTCTCAGCTTCCTCATTTCCTTTTTCAGACCCTTGTCTAAATAATCTGATCTCCAGAGATTTCACTTCTCTGCTTTTCCTGCCCACCTTAATGATGTTTCCTAAGCCTGGTTTTAGACTCCTTTTGGGCTGTGCTTACTAAAGCCACGGGAGGCTGGCATGACCCTTGGCTGCCTTGAGTGTACATGTGTTCTGCAACTGAAACCCCAGATACCAGTGTTGCAACCTCACAGCCTAAAAGCATTTTGGTAATCTTGGTAGGCCTTAACTTCAACTATGCTGGACTTGACATAAAAGTGATAAATGCAGTATTGTTTTAGAGGGGTATTGGGTAGTGGGGTAAGTACAATAGAGAAATTAGAAATTGAAATGTTTTCACCCACCTCTAGTGAGGTGTTGAGCTAAACCCTTGTATTTGCAGTTTCTGTGAAATACCTTGAAACAAATCTGCCACACTGGAATTTTGTACTTAATTTTTGCTAGTAGTATACTACCTTAAAAAAAAAAGTACTTTCCTCCAGTTTTCATTTATGATTCTTCTCGTCTGAGCATTCGTGGCAGTTTCATTTCATTAGATGTTTTGAAAATCCCTTTAAGTTGCTGCTATGTATTGAGGCAGGGAAAGGAGGGAATGTGATCTATTCCAGATTATTGGCTTAAAAGCTTCCTGTTTTGTTAACGATACTCTTCCTTTTTCTTCACATTGATACCTCGTGGCTTTTCTTGAACCTCACTAGATTTGGAGACTGATTTTAATGGTAGACTTAATAGCTTATTATTTTCACT